AGCTCCTCCTAAGCTTTACCTCTCTAGTTTCCTCCCAGCCACCCAATAACACCCCCCCTCCACACCCCTCTATTTTAGATTAGAGTTGGAAGGGACCTTGTAGGTCATCTACTCCAACCCCCGACCCCCCAAGCACGAGGCCCTGCCTACACCAATTCTGACAAGTGGCTCTCCAGTCTCTTCTCGAAAGCCTCCAGGGATGAAGCTCCCATGGCCTCAGTTCTTGCACTGCCAGGTCTCCGTCGTTTCAACCCCAAATGGGGAAATTAAGATAGTAAATTGTAATTATTGATCTAGTATTTGGGCCAGCACTATCGAGCAAACCGCTACGAAACAACTCCCCCCCTCCCAAAGAAGCAGAATGCCACCTTTTATCTCTCTCTCTTTCAGCCAAATATATTACTTTACAGGTAGTCTTTAAAACCAGAATCTCCACTGCTAAGCAAGAATGGTTCTTCAGTGACACAGGCCCAATTCTGCGACTTTTGCCAAGGATGTTAAGCAAATCGTTGCAGTTGTTATGCGAATCCTGTGGTCACTGAGCGTGTCCAGCTTCCTCCATTGACTTTGCTTATTGACAGCTTGCTGGGAATGGCGTGGCACAGAGGATGCTGCTGCTGTGATAAATATATGCTGGTTGCAAAGAGAGGGAGAGGGAAAGAGAGAGAGGGAGGAAGAGAGAGTATGGGAGAGAGATGAAGAGAGAGTGAGAAAGAGAGGGAGAGAGGAGAGAGGGAGGGGGAAAGAGAGAGGGGAAGAGAGAGAGAGTGGGAGAGAGATGGAAGAAAGGAGAGAGGGAGAAGAGAGAAAGAAGAGGAAGGGGGAGAGAGATGAAGAAAGGAGAGAGAGAGAAGAGGGAGAGAGGAGAGAGAGGGGGAGGGGGGAAGAGAGAGAGGGGGAGAGAGAGGGAAGAAAGGAGAGAGAGAGAGAAGAGGGAGAGAGGAGAGGGAGAGAGAGGGAGGGGGAAAGAGAAAGAGAGTCATTTTTTAGGATTTAATTATAAGCACCCACTTTTTTGCTTCTAATAAGTGTTGCTCTCATGCAGATTTTAATTCCAGATTTAAACAGTAACAGTGAAAGATTTAAAACCCAAACCATTTAATTGGTTAGTTCGGTAAACTATGATGTGGACCAAGAAGTAGCAGTTAACAAAAATGAAAACGGTGTCCTAAGCTATAGGAAATCTAGAAAAGGTTTGAGGAAGCCACAGACTTTGCCAAGAAAATCTTTTGGCTTAAGAGATCAGTTCCATCTTTCCCCATGACTATGTCTTGGGTATTTAAAGATCAACATCATTATCAACATGCGTAGATCTGTCTCTGCCCCAAATTTTTCAGCGTCTGAAAGGATGGAGCCAGTAGTACAGGCTAGAATAAGAGAGTAGTATCACATTAAAAAAAAAAAAATTCTGAATACTCCACTGACTATGTCAGCAGATGTGTCACTGTATTTTTTATGACAAGGCTTCAAGTAAAGTGGTATCATTTTGCAAACAAAGTGAATCACCCTGTCAGTTCCAGATAGAAAGATTATTTCCTACACCATGTCACAAAATATTTCGGCGAGAGACACAGTTGCTGGGAGAAATTCAGGAACCACATATTTCTCCCCACCACATACCAGTCCTATCTGTAATGCAAAAACCAAGGTTTGTCTTGTAGGGGCAGTTACCATAGCTGCACTTCCAAAACGCAGGATATATATTATTTTTCCCAAGGCTTCGTCTAGAATTCTGGAAGATGCTTCAACAAATCCCGATTGGGAGTAGTAGGTTTAGGGAAATTTAATCTTGGGGTAGGTTCCGTGCCCCTGGGTTTATGGGAAATACAGGTGGACCTCGACTCACAACAGTTCATTTAAGTGACCAGAGTTACAACGGCACTGAAAAAAAGTGACATGACTATTTTTCACACTTATGACCATTGCAGCATCCCTGTGGTCAATGATCAAAATTTGATTGCTTGGCAACTGGCTCGTATTTATGACGATCACAATGTCCTGGACAGAATTGGTATTCAGCAGGTTCTGACCAGTTCTGGAGAACGGGTAACGGAAATTTTGAGTAGTTCAGAGAACCATCAAATCTCACCTTTGACTCTCTGCCTCCCATTGAGTCCCAGCTGATCGGCTGAGTCTTCTTTGGGTGCCCTACCCAGGAGAATGGAGCTGGAAAGCAGGTTAGTGGGGTGGGGGGAAGAGAATGGGGATTTTGCAGTAACCTTCCCCTGCCACGCCCACCAAGCCACGCCCACCAAGCTACACAGCCATGCCCACAGAACACCACACCCACCAAGCCACGCCCACAGCTGATCGGCTGGGTCTTCTTTGGTTGCCCTGCCCAGGAGAACGGAGCTGGAAAGCAGGTTAGTGGGGCGGGGGGGGGTGGGAGGGAACAGGGATTTTATATCTGAGACCTCTTAATTGGATTAAGGTGTTGAAGAACCTGAAGAATTTTTCCTTTCTCTTTTTTAGCTTTTTATTTTCCATTTTTCCGCCTTTCTTAGGATTTTACAACTTTTTCTTTTTTCTGTGTGTCTTTATGGTCTTTTCCTCCATTTTTGAATGTTTACTGCTATCTAACCAATCGATTGGATTAAGGTATACAAGAACCCGAAGAAATTTTTTTTTCTTTTTTTATTATGATGATTATTATTGTTACTATTTGGCTTCTTTTTTTCCTACGATTTTTATTTGGAACTGCAATTGGTTATTTCACAATTGGATTAAGGTCTAGAAGAACCTGAAGATTTTGAACTGCTCGAAATGAGTCGAGGAAACTAACAGCCCTGGGTTCCTCAACTTCTACTTCTTCCTCTCCACCATCTGACAATAAACGTTTGATTGATTGATTTTGCGACCCGATAAGCAAAGTCAACGCGCAGAAGCCAGATTCGCTTCATGGGGCGCTAACTTAAGAACTGCACTGATTCACTTAACAACTGTGGCAAGAAAGGTCATAAAAAGGTGCAAAGCTCACTTAACCAATGTCTCACTTATTGGTCCTTTATTCCCTATCTCATTGGGTGGGTTAGGAGGTTAAACGGCCCAAACCCCTCATCTTTTACGCTTCCGTCTCAGGCAAGATTTTTGTATCTCTCTTCCCCCCCCCCCCCCCCAGTATATGTTTTATTTTTATTCATAGACATTTTGAATACTGTATATACTCGAGTATAAGCCTAGTTTTTCAGCCCATTTTTTGTGCTGAAAAAATCCCCCTCGGCTTATACTCGAGTCAGATTCCCCTCTGAAAAAAAAAATGGTGTGGAGTCGCGGCCTCCAGCGGCAGCGACTCCCAACAGCCCCAGCCGGGAAGGGAAAGGCAAAAAGCGCTTTGCCTTTCCCTTCCCGAGGCGGCGGGACTGGGGCCGCGCCGGCGGTAGTGACTCCTGACTCAGGGGGCCTCCGAGGGAGGGGAAGAGAGTGACTCCTGCCTCCCGCTGTCATCATCATCTTCTTCTTTTGGGTTAGTGAATCAATTAAACCTTTCATGATATTGAGATCGTTTCCCAAATTAATTATTTTTATTTTTGAAATTTACCAGTAGCTGCTGCATTTCCCACCCTCGGCTTATACTAGAGTCAATAAGTTTTCCCAGTTTTTTTGTGTAAAATTAGGTGCCTCGGCTTATATTCGGGTCGACTTATACTCGAGTATATACGGTATAATGTATTGTCAGGGCATATCATTTACAAAAAAGCAAAAGACAAACAAACAGAAGTATCAACGTGTATTGATAACTAACTAACATTGCCCAGAGGATCACGGGTTGCCCTCTCCCCTCTTTGGAAGAGCTTTATACCTCCTGCTGCCTTAAGAAAGTTCACAACATCCTCAAAGATCCATCTCATCCTGGGAACCCTTTTTTTGAACTATTACCATCTGCCAAATGGTACAGAATAATAAAAACAAGGACAAATAGCCTGAAAAACGGCTTCTATCCCAGGGCCGGAGCTCTGTTGAATTCTACTGTAGAGTGCAGTATTAATGCAATATCAGGGGTTTTAAATTCAATGTATAGAATGTGAAGGATGTGTGTTTGTGTTTATTTTCATAGTCCTAATGTGCACAGAAGATGGTATTTAATTTCATTGAACAAGGTCCAACGACAATTAAACTAAACTAAACAATAATAACAGTGTAACTGATTAATTTAAACTAAATTTCTCAAGGTTTTTCTACCTCGCTCCCCTTCAAAACGCATATGGCAATGCAAAACAAACCCCCGTCGGCCTCAGAATCCGGCTGTGTCAGACGTGAAAAAAACAGGTGGTCAAAATGTCCTTGTCACATAAATAACACTTGAGGCTAAGGGCAGCGACCTTAATGCTGGAACCGCTCATGGGAAGGATTTGCACATAAAGGGCTATTGTAGAATTGCACGCAGGGGCTTTCTCGGGCAGCCTCGTAGACTCCAAGGGCAATTCAAACGCCTGTCCAAACCTGGGAACTAGAAAACTGGCCCTCCCGTTTGTGTTGTGTCGTTTGCGTTGCTATTTGGGCGCCGCACCAAAGTTCACTCTGGTGTGAGTTGGACAGGGCATTTTCAGTTTACGATCAAAGTCTCTTTGGGAGATTGACAGCTGGAGAAGGAATGGGCGGGTCCTCCTCCTTGCCCATACTTGGCCTCTGTGTATACTTCGGAGCGTCTGTCAACCTCACCCACGTTCTATAAATCCTCGGCTTTCAAAGCATCAGGTGCATAATGCCAAACCTCGTGGGTGAGCAAAGAGCTTTGCCTTTTTGGAAGTGCATGGTTTTTGATTTGGGGGAGAGAGAGAGAGAGAGAGAGAGCGTTTGGGATACACCTCCCACCCACCCCCCAGGTAAGCCTCTTTCCCCCGTTTTGTTTCCTTCTAACCCATGCCGTGCTCGCTGTTTTGAAAACTGCTGCTATCTCACCTATCCAGAAGGTCGATGAGGCATAAGAAAAAGCCACAAGGCGAAACAGGGGCCAGACTTACATAACACAAGGAATTGTATTTCCATCTTTTGTATTGCAGAATCAGCAGATGCACAGGAACAACGAAGACATCAAATCACCTTGCAAGGAGCACCCGTATTTGGTTATAGTGATAGGGTAACTATAGACACTGCTGGCTTGTTTTGTTTGGAAGTTTAGATTAACAGAGTTGGAAGGGACCTTGTAAGCCATCCAGACCAACCCCCCTCACCCAAGCAGGAGACCCCTATACCATTTCTGACAAATGATTGATAAATCTCTTATGGATAAATCCATACTCGATTATCCTTCGTTGATAAGCAGAGAGGTCGTTTCAAGCATTTTATTTTCACAAGGACGTCGTGCACTTAAGGTTCTTTGAGGCAAACGTGGCAATGCTTCAAGTGAAGAATTAAATATCGACAATTCAGGGTCCACAAAAGAAAAATGTAATCCGATGATTAAGTAAGTTAGCGAGAGGCAGTTCCGGTGTAAATGTCTTGCAGCAAAGTTTATACAAAGAGAAAGGTCATATGGTGTTATTCTATTTACCTTATTCCATTTTTTAAAACGTTACTGCAGAAATAAGGAAAATATTTTTCCTTTAAAAAAAACAAAACCAGACAAATATATATTTGAGGAAAACAGCATGTAAGTTAATATGTTGTTTAGGAGAGTATAAAACTGGTTACTTTGCCAAGAACTCCCTCAGGCTAAAATAGTATATATCTGAAAATGAGTTCTCTTGCAACCAGTTCGTTCTATTTGGGACTATATTTGTGTAGAATTGCTTTTTAAATGTGCATTGTGGTTTTGTAACTAGGTTTTAAAATACTTTGAACCTATAATTTATCCAATCTTAGAAGTTTCTTGTAAATATCCGGTTTCAAATTTTATTTGCCCTACATAGCTTACAAGAAGTAATCGTTGGAAATGACAATTGAGTGAGCATTCTTGATATGTTTTCATCCTTCCAGCTTGTGTAAAACAGATAATTCTCCAGTCTGATTCAAAGTTATAACTAAATAAAGGGGATTACATTTATTTATGTGCTCATTTATTCGCTGAAGATCTATCCCACTGCAGTCTTGCGATTCTCAGTGGGTTCCAGGATGTATAAAAAATATTAAAACACCTACGTCATTCAAATAAAATAAAATCAAACCTTATGCATGCCTACGTAGAAGTAAATTCCTTTGTGAGTTTGGAGAGTGAAGTTCCTACGTGCTACCTTTCCCGTCCTTCAGTGTTTCTTCATTTTGGCAACTTTAAGTGCGTGGCCCTCAATTCCCAGAATTTCCCAAACCATCATGCAGATTGGGAATTCCCCCAAGGGAGTCACCAGGAAGGCTGGAAACTGAAGTCCACACAGCTTAAATTCCCCAAAGTTGAGTAACACTGTTTTCCTAGGTGTTTCCTGGGGATTTTGTGCTATGCACTTGTGAAATAGTCCCGTACGTTATAAATTCCTCAAGTGGATGTCAGAAATTGTGGTTTCCTAACGCTCACATTCTCTTGCAACAACCGGCATGAGAAAACTATGTCCATCCAGTGTTTGCCAAAGCAACTGCAAAGGTCTTTCTGGGCTAGGAGAAGCCACACAATGACTTTCCCGAGGGACACGACTGAACAGAAGTTGGTTTTAGCCAGCTTCTTGCCCTGTAGGAAGAGGACTAAAAATAGCCAAGAGCTGGTGCACAACGCTACCTGCAGTTGTGTGTTGCAAATCATATGGCATTTCTTTAAAGAGCTCTTCGGGAGGTGTGTACAAAAGTTATTCATTTATTTATTAAACTTATACGCTGCTCGTTATGCCGGAGGTCTTTCTAAATTAGAAAGACGTTTGGGGATGCAGTCAAATTATGAGTAATCCTTGCACGCTTCTATTTGATTTTTTGTTTAAAAAAGAAGGCCTGTAGTGGTGCTGGTAACCTCTGAAAAAAAACAACACTTAAAACATTAAAATAAATGTATAAAAACTGGGTAGCTTAGGAGAATCAGGAGCCCTGTCCAAATTGGTTCCAAAGAACTCTGGCAATAAAAAAAGATTGATAATTAATATAACCCACATGCATTGAATTATGAAAAGGGAATCTTTTATTTATTACTCAACTTTAACTTTGGGGAAAACATTTGTTTTACATCTGGAGAGGAGGAGAGGGAGAGAAGGTATTAATGCAGATGTATTATTTTAAGGTTTGGGAACCCTTCCGCAAACTATTTCATTCCTTTTTTTTAAAGTCCCACTGCAATCTTAGTGGTTGTGTCATAAGGTGACACTCACCCTCCTTGGCATACAGGTAGTCCTCGACTTACAACCGTTCGTTTAGTGACTGCTTGAAGTTAACAACGGCCCTGAAAAAAGCGACTTACGACCGTTTCCCACTCTTACGACCATTGCAGCATCCCCAATGGCCGCAAATTCCATCGAAATTCAGGCGTTTGGCAACTGGTTCACATTTACGACCGTCGCAGCGTCACACAATTCCCTTTTGTGACCTTCTGACAAGCAAAGTCAACGGGGAAGACAGGCTCGCTTAACGACCATGTGACTTACTTAACAACTGCAGTGATTCACTTAACAACGGTGGTGAGAAAGATTGTAAAATGGGACAAAACGCACTGCACAGCCGACTCACTTAGCAACCAAAATTCGGAGCTCAATTATGGTCATAAGTCGAAAACTAACTGTAACTTAGCTGGGCAGATCTTAGATAAGGTAGAACAGTAATTGAAACGGGATGGAAACGACCATAGAGACGGTCATTTCCATCCCCTGTTTCAATCACTGTTCTGCTAACCATAAAGTTGTAGTAGCTAGAGGGCTCTGCAGCTAAAGTTGTGTTGCAGCCTCAGATTTTTAAGTTCTCTCCCTTTTTAAACTTAAAATATAGTTAATATCTTGCTCCCTTAAATCTTATGGGTATTTCTTCTGTTTAGCATAAGAAAATGCTAACACCAAGTGGGAAATAATAATGTGACCTCCTCCACACATATTCAGAAATGGATATTAAGATAATTAAGTGGGTCATTTAACAGGGTCAACTTTACCCAGTTTTTAGAAAGCAACAAAATGGGATTTAATTGCAAGCAGAAGTATTTAATTAAGGGTCTCATGTAGTTCTTTAAAGTCTTAATAGAGGAGATCAGTGATGCAATTCTGATTTCAAAATCAAAGTATTATCTCAAATAACATGAAATGATGACACCACGCACTAATGTGACATCATCAGGACATCATCTGATTATCGGAAGAATCTCCTCAGTGTTTGAACATGTTCATTTTTTTCTTGCAAGATTTCCAGGAATCTAACAATTCTGTTGGAACAAGATAACCTAAAAAAAAAATCAGGTTGTTTTTTTTCAAATTAGTACCAGTAAGCCAACGAAGTTTTGCCAAGTGCAAGGAAGATTTGCCATTATATTTAAAATTAATCGAGTTCATGTAGAGCATTAAAGTAATTCATTATCTATAAAGAATAAGGTAATGTATTCCGTTTTGATGTTTAACCCAAGTAGCAGTTAATCAGAAAGCAGACATTTGGATTAAAACAAGGTGTTTTTTTCCCTCCCCCTCCAGGGCAATTTTTGAAGAATAGCCTGTGTCCAAGAATTACAAATTGTGGTCAGAATAATATGCGAACAGGTAATTCCATGAATTTTTTGTTTATTGTAAATTTTAAGTTATATCTATTTGGAATAATGTACACTTTGCATAGCTCGATGTTCACGTATTTTGATTGTTTTGAAGGCTGGTCAGAATGTGACGCTGATAATAATCCTTAGAGAAATCAAAGTACTTTATATACTGGATGAACTCCAATATATTCAAATTATGATTTGGTGGATATGGACAAGTGTGTTGTTTATATTGGTTTTCTCGTTACATATGGGGTATAATTCATTTCTGCCTTTTAACATCAGTGCAATATACCGTTATAGCCAAATCAACCAATTATTATTTGAGGCATCCTTCAGGACCCAGAATCAAACGGAATTGCAGTCTAATTTTGATAACTACAGAATAACAGAGTTGGAAGGGACCTTGGAGGTCTTGTAGTCCAGCTCAGGCAAGAAACCCTAAACCATGTCAGACAAATGGTTGTCCAATCTCTTTTTAAAAATGTCCAGTGTTGGAGTTTTCTCAACTTCTGGAAGTAAGTTGTTCCACTGATGAATTGCTCTTAAAATCCTTACATTAAGTAAATTTCCTTTTGTGGCTCATTATGAATTTACTTTTCAAGCCTATTGCAAGGGATGGAGACATGTAAAAATCCTCTTTAATTCTGTTGTCTGGTTTAATAATTTTAACTGGAGGGTTCTCAGATTACCCTGCTAGTCTGGTTTTGAGCTTCTCACCTCCTTGTCTGTCCTCTCAGCCTACACGTAGATCAATCACAAAAATCCAGCAGCAGGCAGGTTTTCCTAACTCGTAAGACCTAAACCTTTAACTTATGAATTGTAAACCATCATATTCATTTTGTCCAAATTTTAAAACACATGAGTGGAACTTTTTTTAAAAAAAGGTCAAATCTAGGCCCTCAAGTCATAAAAAGTTATAGGCTTGTTGCAAACTTCCTCCTAGGCAGGGTATTAAAAATAATAAATCATTTATTTTGGCCCCAAAGCATTTGGAATTATTTAGAAACCACTGGCTTCAATCCTAGGGGGGCAAGCAGATGTTTTAGATCAATTGCCATCAAGACTGGATTTCAAAACGATGAAATTTTCTTTGTTTTGTGAGATGAGAAACGATCAGGGAAAGTGGCTGGGAGACCGCCATAGAGAGGGTCTCATTAGATTTCATTTCCTTTAATTGTGGAATTCTCTGGATGGGTTGTCTGAACTCCAGGGAAGTGAGATGGTCTATTGCAATTATTCCACTGCTTGCATCACTCTGTTTTGTTCCTATTTCATTCCTCATATGGATGGGGATTTGCTAAGAGACTGTGGCTTTCTATTTATGGGAGGTGTGAATTCTAGACATTATCTCTAACAAAATTGTAAAACCATTAACTTGGTTATCTGACTTGACCGGGGTACACAAGTTGCGGTCTTAATCTCGTATCTGTCGTGTCCAAAACATGAACCTCTGGCAAAAATCTATCCTTTCGTCTCTAAAAATCTGAAGCAAACGTCTTCACCAAGCGAAAGACTTCAGAGTAAAAATAGAAATTCTGGTTGGTTGAGTTTAGTCTGTCAGCAAAGAGCAGTACTGGATAAACCAGCTGGTCAGGTTATGAGTCTATAAACCAAACTTATTGATGTTGGGAAGAGTGGGCTGTTCCCCACTTGTACTGGCACAGCTCTCTCCTGACTTATGGAAAAACAGCCAGGATGGAAGATCCCAGTGGTTATAGCTACCATGAACAACAATTGTCGGAGAGAGAGTGGCATCAAGAATAGGGAAAATATCAGGCTCTGAATGAGCTTTGCTTTTCAGAATTTGGGCAAGGGGAAATTGCCAGAGGTCCTCCCCCTCCCACCTCCAATTTGCAGGGGGGGGGGGTCAACTTTCCCTGCAGCAGCTTCCTTGCTTCCAAATGAGGATATTTATGGCCCCATTTTCAGGGAGGGCAGAAATAGCCAGGACTCTCAAACACCTCATGTGCAAGATAGCACCACTTTCAACTCCATTGTGATGCTCCGTTTTTTCATGGAGCGGGGCTTCAAGGTTCAGAACTTCACAAAATCACATTTGAGGTTATATTATATGGCTTGGGATGAAACATTTATTCAGAGCAAGCAAATAGATGTGGTGGTTTTCCTTTTTTTTTTTTTTCTGTTCGTTCATGTCCGATTCTCAGAGATTTGCCTGGACGAGACCGTGCAGTTTTCTCGGTGAAGTTTTTCAGAAGTTTTTCCCTTCTCCCCCCTCTGCCCCCTATTTTAGATCATGAAGAACTCTGTGGCAGCACCTATGGGTCTTTCTGTCTGAATGGTGGGATCTGTTATACCATACCTTCCACTTCCAATCCGTTTTGCAGGTAGGCTCAACGTGGACTATTACGCTTTGTGGCTTTTCCAAAATCACACCGTTTGCCCCTTTGCTGGTTGCATTAGCCGAAGGGCAGGACTTTCAAACGACAGAAATACTTCCACCGCCACCCTTTTAGAGCTGCCCTTGCTGATTCCACCCGGTGTGATGTTTTATTTACTTGAAAAATGTGATACCCAGCCACAAAAGTGCTGGTTTAAGGGAAGTCTTTTAGAGCCTCTGCATCAGCTAATTTCCCAGGCACAAAGCCTCCAGGAAGTCCCTGGAGAAAGAGAGAGAGAGAGAGAAAGAGAGAGAGAAAGAAAGAAAGAAAGAGAGAGAGAGAACAGTAGGAAATACCAAGCCATATTGGCCTAACTGTAGACTGGCAGATCCCGGCCGGAAAAGGGATACCATATTGAGAGGCGATGTCTAAATCCGATCGTTTTGGAGACCTGTGATGCAAGAAAACCTTATGTAACCAGAATGACACCGTGCTGTTGTCTAAAACGCACAGGGTGGAAATCAATAATTCCCGTTTACCTTTCAGTACTAAACAGTTATTGCACTTTATGGTCAAAGTGGGCATTTCGGTGGGAGAGGAAATATTTCCTGAGTGAAAAAAGAGGCTTTTTAAAAAATCAGCACAGTAGCAAATCCCACAGAGATAGGAAAAGACGAGTATCTATGATTTGTGTACAGGTAATCCTCGGGTTATGACCGCAATTGAGCCCAAAATGTATGCTGCTGAGTGAAACATTTGTTCAGTGAGTTTGCCCCATTTTATGGCTTTTCTTGCCGCAGTTGTTAAGTGAATCACTGCAGTTGTTAAGTTAGCGACACGGTTGTTCAGTGAAACTGGCTTCCCCACTGACTTTGCTGGTCAGGAGGTCGCAAAAAAGGGATCAGGTGACCTTGGGACGCTGCAACCGTCATAAATACGAGTCTATTACCAAACATCTTTAAAAACGTAGGTTTTCTTTCCTAAGAGACCGATTAGCCTGCAAAGCACAAATAGGGTTTACATTCATTACAGCGCTAAATATACATATGCATACATGCCACAGTCCCGTAGACTAGGCGATTCTCACAGGATGACCTGGCTAGTATCTGCTGGGCCAGAGTGAAAATAGGATGTTCTCATGTTCCTGAAATCTTCTCTGCAACCAATGGAAAGCAGTTTTCATTGTAAGGTGGCCATTTAACATTCAATTCTGGGAATTTCGTGCCTGTTACTCCATTACAGACGGATAAGACTATATTCCAGTGCACATTGTAATTATAAATGTCGTTAGGGAATCTTTCAAAAGATCCTAACCTCTCCTCAGTTCACGTCACAATTCCATGAAAATCCCACAATAAATGTTTTCCCCTTCCTTCCATGGAAGAAAAACTTCAATTTCTGCAAGCATCCTCGCACTTTCATTCTGGTTGGGGTGCAGTTTTAGTAGTTGCGTTATTCAAACCTAGCAAAACGCAAGCTTCTCTTCAGGCCCGATTCTCGAAGCATTGAGATTCATTCATGAGAGATTCTCAATCTGTCATGTCCCACGGTTTGCGGATTCAGACATTTCCCTCAGTCGCCACACTGGGTCATTTGATTATTCAGATTTTTTCAGTCCTTCTAAGTAGCCCGAATCTTTGATTAGATTTGCACATCCACATTTCCTTACGCAGTGGAGATTTCTATTTTCAATAACCAAGCCTGCACATTTGAGACTGTGCATAGGTGCCCATAAAACACTGGGCCTCACCTGCATTTTAACTGCATGGTGACACCATGACACATCAGTGTTGCTGAACCCTAATTCTCAGGACTCTGACATGCACCCCCATTCAGCTCATAAGTCTCTAAGCCGCATCTTTCAGAGAGAAAAAGATTGATGTATTAGGAGCCATACAATCTTCAGCCTGGAAGATTTAGGGCTGTCTCTAACCCACTTTTTCTCAACTTGGAAGACATATGGACTCCAAGTTTCCAGAATGCCCCAAACCAGCATTCTGAATATTGAAGTCCACACAAGTTGGCTGGGGCATTCTGGAACTTGAAGTCTAACTTGTCTTCAAGTTGCCAAGGGTGAGAAACACATTTCTAATGACTCGGGGTTGGTAAAACAGGGGGAAGGAACATTGAATTCTTGCAGAACAGGGCATGAATCGAATCAAGAACGGACAGGGAATTCGAGCAACCGACCTGCACTGCACAAAGTACACCTTCCACAACTCCTTGAGTTCTTCGCTCTAACGCTCACTGTAGTGGGAGCCAACCGAGGAAGCTAAATGGGAGAGGGAGCAGAGACCAATTTTTTTTGGGGGGGGGGGGGAATGTGGCTTCCTTTCAGCTCACGAACTAACTCATCTTTGTCCGCAGGTGTGTTGACAACTACACAGGAGCTCGTTGCGAAGCAATCTTGCTCCCCAGCATCAAGAGCCACTCAAGAGGAGAACTGTTTGTCGCCGTGTTGGCTTCCGTCGTCGTCCTGAGCGTCCTGGTAGCCGGAGCGTTTTTTTTCCTCTGCAGGTAAAGCCGTTATTGATCCAAAGAAAGGAGATTTGGGCTCTTTGAATTGGCCGAATAAAGGTCCACATATTTACCGTATGCGCCCTTTGCTCTTTAACACCGACCGGGGACGTCGTGCAATTTCCCTCGTCTCTTTCTAAAAGAGACCTCAGACCATTCCATTCTCAGATAAACTCTACTAAGCCGAGATAACCGTGTGTTTGTGGGCCGCTGACTCACAATCGGTCGGTGCTGCTTTAGTTCCCCAGCTTAAAAAAAAAAAGGTAAAATAAAACCTCAGAGAAGCTGTAAAGCTGAGTCACGGGAAGCTGGCACACACATCTTCAGACAAGGCAAACTGCATCGTCCCGAGAGTAGCGTTTATAAGAGTGTTTAGTTGAGAAAAGCCAGCACAAAGAGTGCCAACAATTACCACTTATCCTCCGTCTCAGGCCATTCATAGCTTTAAGCCACTTCCACCGAGAAGTGGGAGAGGGGGAAGTTAAAACCCACCGGCCTCCTCGGATTATCCGTCTTCTGTCTCTTTGCTGTCTCATTCCCTTTATCCCTTCTCGCCAGGAAAGGCCAGATCCCGCGGGCCAATGCCCTGGAGCGTGGCGAACACCTGATTGAGGGAAACGGCAGCAATGCTTGCAACAGTGAGTACTTCTCCGGTGAATTCCTGGTGCAAGGAGGTGGGAGGGGACACAGGTGTAGGGAAGCTACCTGCAGCCTCTAAATCAGGGTGTCCAACCTTGGCCACTGTTAAGGCTTGTGGACTTCCACTCCCAGAATTCCCCAGCCAGCGATGCCAGTTCCAAGTACAAACGTAATGCGAGCTATGCGGGCTGGGGAATTCTGGGAGTTGATGTCTACAGGTCTTAAAAGTGGCCAAGGTTGGACGCCCCTGCTTGAAATCCACTTTTTTGTAGTCATAGCCCTTGAATTGTCATCGGCCCCAATTTATTTAAGTTTATAGGCCATTCACCTCGCTATCCAAAGCGACTGATAGCATGGATAGTTTCCCCCAACTCCTATTTTTGAAATAGGAAGTGGAGTCAAAACTGAAAGGTAACTCTCTAACTTAAACAAGGTCCCTGTAAGAGATGACCAGGCTGAGCCGGAGGAAGGGTCAAACGTGTCCTTAGTCTTGAGTCCCTGCGCGCCCACAACAGTGCGCTCCTGCCAACCTTGAATTCCATTGATTCTTATCTGCCACCAATTTGCCTTGACTGTTAGTAGTTCAGATTCCGGTCGAGAGGATAAACTTGCAATCAACCTGTATTTATTTGAACTGCCTGGGTTTCCTGAATTCCCGTGCTTGACAGTCACCCCTCCAATCCCTCATCCCAAGTCCTGGACCACTGCAGACCCCCAACTCCCAAGACAATACGTACACCCCCCATAAAAGAATGCCCTGTGGATCTGATGGAAGTGGTGTCTTTTCAGAAATAACCGAATAAAGAAATCCAAAGAAGGAATTATGGACCAGCTGCAAAAGAAGTGGAAAAGCTGAAACCACGTTGGAGAATATGGTAAGAGGACGGAGCGGATACCTGTGACAAGTGTTGTGCTAATTAAAGATTTATCAGGCCAGTTAAATTTAGGATCTCATTTCAAAGGAAGAGGGGCTCGCGCAGAGAAGTCTGATGTGTTATGTGCACAACTTCTCTGAATTTTTCAGACTTTTACAACTTTTTCCTTTTTTATTATGGGAGGGTATTTTTATGCAAAAGCAGAGAGATTGCAAGATTCAAATACATTATTATCCTGATAAAAGGGAGAAAAATTAAGAACGTCTGCTTAGGCGGTGTCCAGTATTTTTGGCCTGCTACAAAAATGCACAGTGAGAACAAAGAAGCTGTGAATTCTTACAGACACCTGTTTAGGCATGCTTGAATAATGCAATTTTTCTTGGCCAAGAATCATGAACACATCACATGGGCCCGTATTTTTCCACAAAGTGTTCTTTTAATGTATGAAAGGAGAACAAGCAGGGATAAGAATTGCAATAATCCTGTATTTATTTGAACTGCCTGGGTTTCCTGATTTCCCGTGCTTGACAGTCACCCCTCCAATCCCTCATCCCAAGTCCTGGACCACTGCAGACCCCAACTCCCAAGACAATACATACACCCCCATAAAAGATTGCCCTTTGGATCTGATGGAAGTGGTGTCTTTTCAGAAATAAACGAATAAAGAAATCCAAAGAAGAAATTATCGACCAGCTGCAAAAGAAGTGGAACACCTGTGCATGCCTATAAATGTAAAAATAAACAGATTATCAGGAAAATGCGAATTCACAGGTTTTTCCTTTCATCTTTAGATACTGTCTTCTGTTCAGAACCCCAAACTGATGCTATGTTCTAGGGATAACGCTGAAGCCTATGCAATTTCTCTTGATGTTGACTCTGTATGTCTGTTGATGATCCAAGCACTACCCTTCCTTTTCTGTAGCCGCCGTACATTGTTCGTTCAGGTCCCATTGTGATCCGCTCAGGTCCTTTTCGCTGCCCAATATTGTCCCGGGGACAAACAAAAACGTTACCAGATGGAGAATAAATGTTGAAAGAATTCCATGCAGACTTAGGACAGACCCCAAAATAAATACTGCTCTGTAAAGGCCAGAACGTTCCCCCCTCCGCCCTGAACAAAAGCAATACCTAATCGTTAAATGAGATCTTCAAAACGGATTCCTACAGTGAGCCGACGAATGAGTTAAAATTGCTCATTGTATTCTTGAGGATGTTCAGTTCCTCATTTTTGATGTGGTTAATTAATTCCTGCGGGTACAAGACCAGTGTGCTACTTTTAATACCTTTGCAAGCTGCCTTGACAGAAATGATGGGAAAGATAATGCATAATTTGACGTTAAAAAAAAAAAAGAACCAAAGAAAATCCTAATAAAGCCACTGTCTTCTGTGATTTTCAGGAATCTGTGTCAGCGTTCCCAGCTACTTTGAATGAAGAACATGATTTAGAGGACCAAATATCTATGCAGAAATGTGCACAGCTTATGTTCTTACTGTTCCTAGACTCAGGAGGTCAGAGGTATGTGAAGATGCTGAGAGAGACATTAGAGTCAACTCCATCCTCGGTAATTAAAATAGACAAAATGCTTTTAAAGTATTTCCGAACATTAGTAAGTAGTATTGAAAAGCTGTTCGATCCTTTCCATCCGTTTTTATTGAAGGTGAAATCAGCTTTACGGTTTAGTGTCCTCCAACGGATCTTCCATGCCAGGAACAAGCTTTGGTGAACAAAATAAAGAGATGCATTATGTAAAGGTTTCCACAACTTACAGCGGTGACATCGGGCACGCCTTTTTAGGGTCATGATGTACTCACTGTGTTCCTTTTTTTTTTCCTTTTTGTTTGAAACATTTCCATTTGTAAATAAAGTTTATCCTTTTCAAACACGTATCTGAGGTCTCTCGAAATATTCTGTGTTTAAAGTTCGTCCACGTGTTATCAGTTGGTTGTAAAAGACAACTAATTAAGAAATAATATCTGACCAAGCCGGAGTAGAGTAATAGTTAAGGATGAGGATGGGGGAGACTCAGGTTTGGGGGGGTCACCTTGGCCCAGGGAGTAACTTATTCTCAGTCTAGTCTACTCACAAAGTTGTTTCAGAAAAAGAGTTGGAAGAGTTCTAGAAGAAAGTGGAGGGGGAAAAAATCCAACAAACTTAACATAAAACTACATACAGTTTTGTAAAGTTCCACGAATCATTTGTTCTTACTCATGAAGCCATCAATTGGTCTGTAGGCTTCTTCCGTTAAAGTTATTTATTTATTTTTGCATGCCTTCTGATTTGAGAAAATTGCAACCACAGACCCGCAGAATTGGGGGGGAAAAAGCTTATTATTGGCTGTAAATGGATTTATTTCTACAGTAACACAATCTCACCTCTGCGTTACAATCCCAAAACTGAACTTGCTTTTTACATTACCCAGTAAATTTACCCAGAAAACTGACTGACCATATACCAAATTCTTTGGAATCAATCTCTATTCAGGACACTTTTTAAAGCAACCAGAACAATGTCAATGTTTAACAGACAGCTGCATTTTCAATATATGCTTTAGATTGTCTTCCATAAAGCAGCACTAACTTTTCAACGGAGAAAGTTTCCTTTAAAATAAAACACGCTGGCCATTGAAATCTGATTTCTAAAACAATCTGGCAAGCATGCATCATCAGAATGGGATGTTTCTGAGATGTAAGCATGGTTTCAATTTTGTACATTTTAAATATATTAAAAATGACTTTCCTAAAACTTTTGAATTACTGGCTTCATGAATCACGTTGGCAAAAGAACCCTGAAACTTGGCCCATAAACCTGCAGCAACTTACAGTAGACTAACCAATCTTTTGTATCCCTGCCTCTAATATTTCCCTAAGGTTTAATATTTGGGGGGGTATTGCATTAACATTACCAAATCAAACCAGAAGAAAGATAATCAGGGACTCTCAATGTTAGGCCAGGACTTCAATCACGTGAGGAATTCGGTCCTGAAGCTTCATATATTCAAAAACAGCACGAAAAAACAGCGTAATGAAGTAAGTCATTAAAGCCAGCCCAGCAAACACAGTTTCTCCCAGGCATTAAAAGCAGTCAAGTCTGCAACGATGCCAAAAATACATCATACAGACGGGTGTCTCCACAAAGAAAAATGGTATTTCCTTGCATCGCGGTTTTCAATTTTTCATGGAAAAGACAAACACATTTTGGAGAGGAACAAAAAACAACAACACTCAAAACATTCTTGGCAGTCTGCTTTTGGAGGAAGACAGAAAGAATATAACTTGCAGCTGAGAGGGGGAAAAAATCACGTATTTAATTCTCTGTTACCTTATTTTACACTTGCCCGACTTCCCCAGTACAACCTTAGGACATTAAACCAAATCATAAATATCTTCAGTAGCTTTAATGTCAGAGAGAAAGCTGAATATCAAGTTAACATCTTGCAGTCATATAATTCTGCTGCCATTCATCTTTCCTACACTGATAAAAGCAGTGAGTTGAAGGGTTGTTGTTGTTTTTTTTGCACAGGAAGAAAACCTTATTAGTGTATGCTTTCAGACTGTTGTCGTTTAGACAGTTCCAGATCCCAAGAATTCATATTTAAAACACTCAACAGCAGAATTCAAACCAAATCAGACAAATCGTGAGGTTCCTCCATATATTTAAGAACCCCAAGGGATATTTTCCTACAACCAAAGCGATTAAAAAGCAGGCAACTAGTACAATATATATATATAAAATATAAACTAGCTAGTGAACAAGATGGCCCAACTTCCAGTGTTTTACCAAGATAAGCCCAAGAATTCAGACCATCGAATCCTCTCTGGACCAAAACGATGAATATTCAAGTGCAAACGTGGTTTCAAATTTGACTAGGCCTCCATGGGCCCCTTTGCCCCTTAACAGATGATTTAAAGAGCTCAGTTCAGACCTGAAACTTTGCACTGCCAGAGACAAACAATAACAGGCTTAGCTTAAGACAGGCTTAGTTCATGGGCTGACTTGTTCTGTAATCCACTAACAGCAAGGGGGGGGAAAGGATATTCCCCCCCCCCCCCAGTACGAAAGCACTGGTGATGCTTAAACCACCATCATTTGCAACTGCTGGAATGAAGTAAAAAAAAAAATCTAACCGTATGGATACGAAGCACTTTCTGTTTCAGAAAAGGGGGAATTAAAAAACTCATCTTTTTCTTCCCCGAATTTAAGATCACGTCATCAGGGAGGCCTAAAGTCGACGGGGCCGCTTTCCTTGTTTGTTTCGGGAGGGACTCTGAACGGCGTGCCCAGAATGGCCCGCTCCTCGCCACTCGTTGCAGCCTAGCGACAACCGCACAATGGCAGAAGAGAAAAGAGAGAGAGAGAGAGAGAGAGAAAGGGAGAGGAGAGAGATGTTTAAGCTTGATTGCCTTTAGCCGAACCAAAGTGCAGAAGCATCACCACCGTGGTGTAGCTGTGCAGGAGGTTGTCCTTGGCCTCGCGACATTCCCGGAGGACGAAATTCCCCGTCACGATTCGGTCGCAGCCGATCTCCCCGTGCCCGAAGAAACCGAACAGCGGCACGGCCGGGAAGAACTTCCGGAAAGTGTCGGCCTCCAGGTTCACTTTGTTCTGGTAATGCTGGCGCCCCCTGCCCACGCAGGCGAACATGAAGGCCAGGCTGTGGCGCTCAGGGATGTTGGCCGCCTTCAGGCGCCGCATGGCCGCTTCGGCTAACTTCTCGTCCGTGACGTCCTGGTCCAGCAGGACGGAGGCGCACTGGATCTGGGCACCGCTGAACGCCAGGCTGACCACGCCACACGACTCGGCAGGCTGGGTGTGACTGAAAGGAATGATGGGGGGGGGGGGGGAAACAAGAGTCAGAAGCTGGCGGGCCACAGCCCAACGTCGCCCAACAGGCCATGCCGAGCAATACAGGTCATCCTCAACTTACGACCGTTCGTTTAGCGAAGCTGCACACTTACAATGGACCCCAGGACGGTGAAAACAGCCTCAAACGGCCCTAAAATCAGCTGGGAGGCGCACCCATGCGCAGTGCAGGTAATGTTCTGTCCCAGCAGAAGCTTCCGAAAGCAAACCCAGATAAAACTTCAAAACTGAAAGGTTCACGGCTTTATTCCCCCCTCTTTGTAGATAACAGATGGCTTGCAGCCAATTAATCCAATTAGGAAAACCTTCAAATCAATCAAAGTCTGTTATCATCACACTTAACCCTTCGAACGCTTTTTGCCTTCTGCAAAAAGGCAAAAACCGTTTGCAACCAAGCTTATATTCCCTAGAGGGAGGGGCCATTACATGGCCTCCTTACTCCCGAGTCGTCTAGGCAGCTTCAGCTGTTCCCTCCTACGAAGCATCCTGCGATCACGTGCACTGAGCACAGGCTCCTCGGGAACCTCCTCGTCACTGCTGCCAGCCCCCACCATCTCTGAAGGCAGCAGCCCACTCCCTGATAGTCCCGGCCCCTCATCCGAGTCCTCGCTCTCCTCAGCCGAGGAACACTCTCCTCAGGGAGGAACGGAGAAGGGAGCAACGTGGGTTGCATGGCTTACTGGGGAGGAAAGGGCCCTGATTCACTTTATTAGCTACAGCTGGGAACACGGTGTTTAAAAAGGGTAGCTGTGCACAGCAGCTTGTTGGGAGCAAATCGTGAATTATCTGGTATTGTCGAGGCTTATCTGTGTTCCTGGCTTCTTCCCAACTGTGTTTGCTTTCAGGTCTGCAATTCCTTCTCCTGCCCTCTCAAGTTAATTACTGCAGCGTGGTTTGTTTGGATTTTTAGTTACAGTTTGTATGTACTTTGTTTTCGGACTGAATTTCCTCCACTTCAAGATTGTTCTTGGGAGAGTTTTTTTTTCTCCAGCTGAAGGTAACCTGGACATTGGGGGCAAAATTGGAGGTACTAAAGGAACTTTTCTTACTTATGTGACTGTGTTGCCTTTGTGCCACGCCCCTTTGGGTCATCCCAGCCAAAGGGCTAAGGAGCTCAGAAGTGCGTTATCCAACTTACGTAAAGGAAGTCACTCAAATAAGGTAAGGAGAGAAGTGCAAACGGGGGGAGAAAAAAGATGACGAAAGGACTGTAACACACATCATTAGCACTTCTAATTTTAGATAAACAAAATGATCACTTGGCAGAACACGAAGCGTTTTGAAAGTGGCTCACTTGTACGAGCAAGTTGCGGAAATCTCTCTCTTTTCGCTTCATGCTAGAATCGAAAGAAAAGGGCCGACTCCAAATCAGGGAGAACTTTTCAGGCCATCCTATTCTGATTGTTTTGGTGCTTGAAAAGGAAATAAAAGAAAAAAAACATGGAGATCATACAGGAAGCCATGGATCTACAACCGTGAAGGAGCCTGGAATTTTCCCCATCAGTTGTGACAGTTGTAAGTCGAGGCTGTCGGGCTCTGAGTTCACTACGGCGGAGAGAGGCACTCATGGGACTGGAGCCAATATTGTGGCTTTTTTTTTTTTTTTTTTGAGGCAGTTATTAGGTGAATGGGACGGTCATTCAGCATGTGTCCATGATGGCGAACCTATGGCACGCAAAGCCCTCTATGTGGGCACGCACACCGTAGCTAGCTGCTGCTCTGGGTTTCTGCCAGCCAGCTGGTTTTTGTGGGTGCCAGAGCAACAGAAAACGGCTTGAAAAACAGCAAGAACCTAGGCCATTTTGGGGCCCTTTTTCAGGCTGTTTCCAGGTCGTTTTTCGGGCTGTTTTCCAGACCAAAAACAACCCCCCAAATGACCCCAAAAAACCGGCCTGAAAACGCCCCCCTAAAATCCCTCCAAAAATGGCACTCGGTGCCGAAAAGGTTCGCCAGCACTGGCATATGTCATTCCGTTAAGTAAATCAATGCATTATGTGGCTTTTTTTTTGCCAAAATCTGGACAAAAAGTGCTGGAACCTGGCAAAAAAAACAACCCAAAAACCCATTGTAAATTGTAATCCTATGATTATGGAAGTCTGCAACCGGCCATAAAGGGGAACGGGAAGGCCTGATCCAACCCAGTTTTTCTTCACTTTATCAGCCCAAGAGATTTGAGCAGGCCGGGAAAATCCGAACTTTCCTTTATCACAATAGAGAAGGTGAGATTTTCAGGAACAGATAAAAGCCGACCCCACTGAACCCTACAGGCAGTCCTCGACTTACAATTGTTCCATTTAGTGACCGAAGATACAACGGCACTGAAAAAAGTGACTTATGACCAGCTTCCACCCTTATAGCAGCATCCCCGTGGTCACGTGGTCAAAATCCCGGTGCTTGGCAACTCGTATTTATGATGGTTTGCAGTGTCCCGAAGTCTGCGACCCCAGCGTCAATGGGGAAGCCAGGTTCGCTTTAACCATCGTGTTACTAAGTTAATGGCAGTGATTCATTTAACAACGGCAGCAAGAAGGGTGGTGAAGTGGGGGCAAAACCCACCCTTAATCGCTGTTTGGCTTAGCGATACAGAAATTTGGGGCTTCATGGTGGTTGTAAGTCGAGGACCACCTGTTAAACCAGAGAAACCTATCAAAACGAGACACCCACCAAGTCAGGGACGTAATGCTGTCTACGTATCCACCCGCTAAGATGATGCTTTTTTCGTTCAGGCGATTGACAATTTGGCGGAAGAATCGTGGCGATCCCGTCTTCCAGCTGTTGTATCCGAAGAGAAGCACGGCTCTGAGGTCGGGGTTGTTCTTAAGACCTGGTTGGAGTAAAAGAGGAGAGAGGGGGGGGGAGGGAGGGAGGGAAGGAGAGAGACAATAGGAAAGAGAGACAGAGAGAGACAATAGGAAAGAGAGAGAGAGAGACACGTTAGGAAAGAGAGAGACACACACATAATAGAAAAGAGAGAGACACAATAGATAAGAGAGATGACAGGAAAGAGAGAGAGAGACAATAGGAAAGAGAGAGAGAGACAGAGACACACAATAGGAAAGAGAGACAATAGGAAAGAAAGAGACAGAGCGAGAGGGAGGGAGAGAGAGAGAGAAATAGGAAAGAGACAGAGAGAGACATGATAGGAAAGCGAGAGAGACACACGCACACAATAGAAAAGAGAGGCACACAATAGATAAGAGAGACGACAGGAAAGAGAGAGAGACAGAGACACACAATAGGAAAGAGAGACGATAGGAAAGAGAGAGAGACAGAGAGAGATGGAGGGAGGGTGAGAGAGAGAGAGTAGAAATAGAGAGAGGGAGAGAGAGAGGGAGGGAGGGAGGGAGAGAGAGAAAGAGAGAGGAGAAAGAGAAGAGATATATATATATATATATATATATGTATATGTGTGTGTGTATTATTAATCTGTCTTTCTGCTGATAATAACAAGATGCCAAACTTCATGCATCGTCTAGTTTACGGCCTGAATCTGTTTTTGTTTCCTGACCTACTTTCCCTAAAGGTACCCATACCAAAAGCAGAGATTCCCACCAGGTGTTGTTGTTGTCATAACAGCCCTGCAGCAAATTTCTGACCTCTTAGGTACGTAATCCTGGAGGTCTATTTTTCTCTTCTGTAATCATAATGGTTTGTATTGGACAAACTTAGCCAGCGGTTTTAACCCTTTACGTATCAGAAAACAGGGAGCCCAGCCAGGAAAGCGGCAAACGACACGTATAGGTAGGAAAAAAAGGACTCGACATTCCCTTCCCAGTTATATAAAAACCCTGTAAAAACTACGGGAACCAGCTGTGGTTTAGCAGGGAGGTGCACAAAGTGGGACAACAAACTAGTTGACTTAAGTTTATTGTGTGTGTTTACTGGAGGGTTTACTTTTCTCTCTTGCTTAGTGTTTGGTGGTTAAGGGTAGAGAAAATATTTATCTGTTTCTATCCTGCCGTCATTCTCTACTTTTATAAATAACTCTAGGTAGCTAACGTTATTTAATACACCTTCCTCCTCCTCTTTTCCCCACAACAACCCTGGAAGGTGAGGTGTGCTGAAAGAGACTGATCGGTCCAAAGTCACCCAGTGGGCTTTTATGGCTAAGGCAGGATTAGAACTCACTCTCTCCCTGTGCTTGGCCCAAAGTCACCTATTGCCTTGGGTGGCCATCTGCCAGTTTCTAGCCTGGTGCCTTGGTGGGAGGATGACTTCGAAAATATGATATGGTTCCAAGAATCACTAAGTTTCTCCTAGTCTTCGCAGCCAAACACTGCATCACAAATCACAACCTTCCAGTCATCACCATCATCATTTAACGAACCCCATAATCCCTTGTGGGGTGGAGTCCGGGGCAACTGAATGGAGCTAGTAGAGTGTTTTAATGGCCGGATGCCCTTCCTGTTGCCAGGGCGGAGTTTTGTTCAGCAGACATATCCTCAGTGTGAGAAAGAGAGAGAGAAATATCTGCCTCTACCTAGGATCGAACTCACAGCCTCCTGATTGTGAGACAAGAGCTCCACCTCTAGGCCACTGCACCACTCTACCCAACACACAACCTTGCAATGTACTATGAAAAATACCTTCAAAATGACTTGCACGTTGCGCCGTTTAAGCCCACGTTTGTCTTATGACGGTATCAACATTTACAATCGTGTTGTGATGACCCAAAGGGGCGTTACACAAAAAACAACAAAGTCACAAAAGTAGAATAAATTCCCTTTCACGCCTCCAACTTGGGCCCCAATGTCCAATTCTCCTCGGCTGGAGATCAAACTCTTCCAAAAACAGTCTACAAAGGGCAGAAATGCAGTCCGAACCCAAAGTAAAGATAACTAGAAATTTAAAAAAACCCAACACAAACCACACTGAAGTAATCAACATGGCAGGCCAGGATGATAAATTGCAGACTTTCAATGGATAACGCAGCACCCACAGTTGAGAGGACGCCAAAACCCAGATAAGACTCGATAAAGACAATGCACGCTTTGCTTCCAGCAAGGAGCTGTGTGCAAATGCAACCACTGTTCTCCCAGCTGCAACTAATAAAAGGGATCAGGGCCCTTTTCTCTCCCATAAGCCACGTTGCTCCCTTCTCCGTTCCTCCCTGCGTGCCCCATGATGAAGAGGGGGTGGGCCTGGGTCTTCCTTGAGAATGCCCAGCCGGACTGTGCCCTTCCCCCGTTTCTTCCACAGCCACTGGAGCCACACTCCCACTCCCTGTCAGCTGCTCACTCTCCCCCTCAGAATCTGACTCCAACAAGGGCATGACACTTGTGAATCACCATTGGGAAATAAAAATCCAACACTGTGATAGCTTTTTTTTTTTTTTTAAATAGCACGAGTTCAAAGAGAGCCCCCCCAAAACAGCCACCCCACTTCGACTTGCCTGCTTCAGCAAACTGTCCTTCGTCGATGCCTTGGCTCTTTGGGTCTTTAAAAAAATGGAAGGTCTGAATCTTCACCCCATCGATTTTGGGGAAGAGCAGGGCGAAGCCGGCCTCTCCTTCTTCAACCTCCAAGGGACGATGGCTGCCGGAGCCTTTGGGGGTAACTGAAAAGCGAGACGCTCCGTCCAGTTAAAAAGGGCGCACCTCAGTTTTCCAAAGACTGCGATAATCATTTTGAAACGTGCTCTCGTTTCCCACAAAGCACAGGCCGTTCAACCACGAAACATTCTCCCCATTATTCTTGGCTATTTTTAAAGGTAGTCCTGGACTCACGACCACAATTGAGCCCCCCCCATTTTTGTTGCTAAGTGAAACATTCGTTAAGTGGATTTTGCAACTGTGGATGTGAAAGCTGCTTCAAAATTACAGCCCTTTCCGTTCATTTTGAGGCAAACTTGAGAGAGAACCAGGGATTTGCTAGGCCCCAGGACTTGTGAGTACCTGGGAACAGTTTCCATTTTAATCATCTTCTTTTAACGACCTCATAATCCCTGGGCAACTGAATGGAGCTGAGCGTTTACTGGCCGGATGCCCTTCCTGTTGCCAATGCGGAGTTTTTGTTCAGCAGATACAGTCTCAACGTGCCCAGAGAGAGAAACATATCTGCCTCTACCTAGGATTGACCTCACAGCCTCCTGAATTGTGAGGCGAGAACTTCACCTCTAGGCCACCGCACCATTACAGTTTCCATTCTAATCAGAAATCCAAATTCTAAGTTTATTTGCAATTGATTTCTACAGAATGCTGCTTCCTTTGAGCAGGTGGAAAGACCCAGTTTGGATGCACAGCCATACCGAGGGGAAAAACTCAGGGAGCTCATTTGGTTGAGGTTGTTCTCCTTACCTACAACTCCAGGTGTCGCGAGACCAAGCACCTGGCATCGTGTGGGGAGCAGTTTTTCCAAGGCGGACGCGATTTCTTTACTGTATCTTCGCCGTGCTATAATTATGGGGGGAAAAAAACAAAAAACGGTTAGTCCAAGTTCCTGCAGGATCAATAATAACCTTGGGAGCGGCATCCGGTTTTTAAAAATATTTTAATTAGCTGCTGCAGTAAGCATGGAGTTCCCTAGGAATAAGGAGAGCTGCTCAAAAGACACATATCCATCACTGGTTGGTCTTCACAATTTTCAGGAATTTTTTTTTGGGATAATTCATGGGTCATTGGGACGGGCTTCCAGCAGGAACAAAGGGACAAGAGATAAAAATGAGATTTGAATTTAGGCTGATGGTGTTTCCTAGTTTGGGCAATGAAACAGCTGCGAGACAATTGACAAGCACAGAGAGTACCGAGGACCTCTTTGTTTCAACCCTGAGCTGCAAATATTTTCCTTTATCAATTTGTGTTTGTTACAAGGAATGGTGGTTTGCATAATCTAACCCAGTGATGGCTAACCTATGACACGTGTGTCACTCGTGACACGCCGAGGCACTTTGACTGACATGCCTGTTGGTGTGGGGAAAGCCTGCACATTTAGAGGCTGACTGTGCTCTGCTCCAATCCCTGCTCCCTGCTTGTTGCGTGGAGGCGTGGTGTCACCGCTGCCGCAAGATCTTTGCAGCAGAGAACCAGTTTTAACCGCCATAAACTGAGGTTTGTCAGTTTCATTACCTCAGGAACGCTACAGGAGGAAAGGAGATCCATGAGGTTCACAGCCCTGTAAGGTGGCCTTCCGATCCCCACATCCTGAGACCAGGCAGCCCTGAGACCAGGGAGACGAGTTTCACAGCCCTGTGTGATCACCCCAGCCCAGTCCGTCATAAACCAAATTATTGATATTTCTTGAAGTGACACACGACCCGAGGAAGGCTACACTTTTTCCCGATTTTCGACACACCAAGCTGAAAAGGTTAGCCATCACTGATCTAATCTATCCTCCAGGGATTTAACTGAGCCTTTCCAAATGTATGGACAAACAAGGAAAAATCTTATTATTTTCAAAGTTCTTCAGAGGGCTGCCTGGTCAAAAGTTGTTGCCTCTGCCAGCTTTCTGTTCCCAAGATCAACCTTGGAGCAGAAGATCAAGATAAATCCTGCCATCACAAAACAATGTTTTCCAAGTTGGGCAACTTTTCAGATTTTGTAGACTTCAACTCCCATAATTCTCTAGACGTTGTGAACTTCTGAGAAAATTTGAAGTCCCAGAATTCTGGGAGTTGAAGTCCACACTTTAAAGTTGCCAAGTTTGAAAAATATTGCTCTGTAGGATTCTTTCAGCGATATATTTTCATGCTCCTGCAACTGGCAAGTAACAAGAGATTCTGATAAATTAAAGAGTTCAATTACTCAGGTCAACTAAATCTATAGACCCACGTCAACACTCCTTTGTTACTGCAAAACAATACTTCGCCAAAGTTGTCTACTTAAGTCATGACAGAGCAGAGAGCTCCATTCAAGGCTATCATTTTGGTCTACAGAACCCAAACGGTCCAATCAGAAGACTGTTGTTTTTTTTGCCCCGTGTGAATAAGTCAATGGCTAAAAAACAGTCTTGCTGGCACTTACCTTTCTTCAGACTATTGCCAGAAATCTCTCTGTTTTCACTGAACGTCTCTGCATCTGATATCATATATAACACTGTCTGGGGGAGGACTTGAACTTTCTGTAATATAAACACAAAACACAACATAATGGACAATGGATAGTCACACACCAGGAACTTGTCTTGTATGTGAAAAACAAAGCATAGCTCCAAATACAGCTTGGGGTCCTTGGTGCTCTTGACTGAGCCTGATTGTTGGCTTGCAAATATTTCATGACCCAACTAGGTAACATCATCAGTGTTCTGATGGTGTTGATAGTGCTCTGATGGTAATGGTAATCATCAGATACTGATCGTGTTCCCCAGTTGGGTCATAAAATGTCTGCAAGAAAACCACAAAGCTCAGAGAGTACAAAAGGTTCCCAGAGTTCAACCTGAGCTGCAGGTATTTCTTCAACTAGAACCAAATAAAACTTGAATAAACATAACTGCTTCTTGACTTGTCACTGAAAAAAAGATATAATTGCACAGTCAAAGGGCTGTTTCTTAACCATCATTATTCTGTTTAGAAAAAAACAGAACAGTAAATGTGGTAATTTAACAAACATGACCAAAGCTTGCCAAATAGACGAGGTTTCAAAGTTGCAACCTTAAGAACGAAGCTCAACCACAACAGGCAAACACCTGCTTCTGTCCATGTGTCCAAACCGCTTACCTCAATGTCTTCTGCTAACACGTGGACCAGAACGTGACTGTTGGATGGGTCTGGCTCCAGGGCAGAGACCCAGGTGATACCCTGCTGTGTTCGCAGGATTCTGCGGGAACATTCCCGCCATAGCTGGCACACGCTGCAACAGAAATATATATATATATATATACATATACATATTATATATTATAGACAGATGAGACAGATGACAGATAGATGATAGAGATGACAGATATGGATGATAGATGATAGATAGATGATAGAGACACATGACAGATAGATGATATAGATGATAGATGGATAGTTGACAGAGATAGATATAAGATGGATAGATGATATAGAGGCAGATGACGGATGATATATAGATAGATGGATAGACAGAAAGATGATAGACAGATGACAGATAGATGATATAGATAGATGATAGATGGATAGACAGATGACAGACAGATAAATATAAGATGGATAGATAGATGATATAGAGGCAGATGACAGATGATATAGATTATAGATAGATGAATAGATGATAGAGACAGATGACAGACAGATAGATGATATAGAATAGATAGATGATAGATGGATGATAGTGAGACAGATGACAGATAGATATATGGATAGACAGACAGATGATGGATAAATAGACAGATGACAGACAGATAAATGATAGAGGCAGATGACAGCTAGATGATATGGATAGATGATGGATGGACAGACAGATGACAGACATATAGATATAAGATGGATAGATAGATGATATAAAGGCAGATGACAGATGATATAGATTATAGATAGATGGATAGACAGATAGATGATAGACAGATGACAGAGATGATTAGATAGATGATAGATGGATAGACAGATGACAGACAGACAGATATAAGATGGATAGATAGATGATATAGTGGCAGATGACAGACAGATGATATAGATAGATGATAGATGGATGATATAGAGACAGATCACAGATATAGATGATTAGATGGATAGACAGATGACAGAGACAGATGACAGACAGATATAGATGATATAGGTAGATGGATAGATAGAGATAGATCAATCACATTGCGGGGGGGGGGCAACCGTAGCCTCCCCCCAGGCCCTCCTCCTGAAAGCCCCTCCCTCCCAGGGATGCCAGTTGCTCCCTTCGGACTTCTGCCTGCCTCCGCTGCCACCGCCCCTCTCGTACCCTCTCCCGCCCGCCCGCTTCCCTCCGTGGCTATCGGCTCTCCCCCCCCGCCCCCCATTCGAGGGCCGGTTCCTCTCTCGTCGCTCCTCGGGGTCTACTGGCGTCCCGGGCGATCCCTTGTGACTCTCCAGAGCTGCTCACCAGGCCGCCCGCAGGAGGGCCTTGGTGGGCAGGAAGCCGAGGATCCGCTCCACCACCTCGGCGAGGCTGCTCAGCACGTAGCCGCTCTTGGGGTCGGGCTCCATGACAACCGCAGGCCGCGCGTGCCCCCCCCCCCACCCTCCGAAAAAGCACCAGCAGAGTCCCGGAAGCTGCGGCGCGCTGCTGACGCCATCGACGACGCGACGCCCTCCGTTGCCGTGGAGACCGACGCGCGGTGTGTGTGTGGGGGGGGGGAGAGGAACCCGGACAACCCTCCCTCGGTCCCGAGTGATCAAAGGGTAGCCGCTCTAGCCTTCGGCGTCTCTATGATGAGCACTCCCGAAGCTCGGAATGGGACTCGGAAAACGAAATCTGTCGACCTTCATTACTACTTTTTTTCCTATCTCTATGAGCTCAGAGTTTGAGGTCGGAGGGGAGACCATAGATGTAGAATAGTACAGATAGCCCTCAACTTTACAACAGTTCATTTAGTGACCAAAGTTACACCAGCAGTGAGAAAAGGAACTTATGACCGCTTTTTAAATTATGACCATTGCAGCATCCCCTTTTATGACTGTTGCAATGTCTCCCAGGGGTCTCGTGATTATTATTTTTTTGCAACCTTCTGAAAAGCAAAACCAACAAGGAAGCCAGATTCACTTAACCACTGGGTTCCTAACAATTGCAATGATTCACTTAACAACCGTGGCAAGAAAAGTTGTAAAATGGAGCAAAACTCAACAAATGTTTCACTTAGCAACATAAATTTGGGGCTCAATTTGCAGTCGTTAACTCAAGGACAACCTGTATAGAGCAAGAATTTTTTAAAAAAAAAGTTTAGGGAGAAATCTTGACGGCATGAAGCAGGAAAAGGTCACAATGGCTGGACCCTGGGAAAATACTTATGGCTGCAAACACTTGAATAATCGGTTCCTCTCTGCATTTCCTCCTAATTTCTTTTTTTTTTTTTAAACGTAGCAAGGAAGAGTTCTTTGCAAGTGAAAAGTTTCCAGTGGTTTTGCAAAATCTTCAGCTGACGTAATCCATGGTTTGCAGCTACCGCATGTTGGATTTCAGTGCCCAGCTTCAGTTACAATGTTTAGGGTGATGGGACAGATGCGAGAGAGAGGAGCCACAACGATGGAGACAAGAACGAGAGGAAGTCCCGTTACCTTTTTGGGAGCATCTTAATTTAGGGGAATAAACAGCCCAAAGTGGGATGGAAAAACTATAAAAAGACAGGATGTGAAGAAACCAGAAAGGAGCCAGTCTCTCTGCCAGTCGGGAAGAAAATTGGGGCGGTTCCAAAATAGTTAATAAAGTAATAAATAAAATACAACAGGACTAGTCGGACTACAAGCAAACCTCAACTTATAACAATTTCTTTAGTGACCATTTAAAGTTACAACGGCACTGAAAAAAAGTGAATTACCCAGTCCTTGCTCATTCAACTTTCACCATCTCCCTAGGGCTACATGTTAAATTATGATACTTAGCAACTAGGGTGTATTTACAATGGTTGTAGCATCCCGGAGTTATGTGATCACAATTTGCAACCTTCTCAGGGGGCTTCAGACAAGCAGAGCCAATGTAAGAAGCAGGATTCGATTAACAGCCACACAATTGATTTAATAATGGAAGCGATTTGCTTAACAACTGTGGCAAAAGTTGTAAAATCGGGTGTGACTTAACCATCTCGCTTAGCAACAGAAATTCTGGCTGCAAGCCGAGGAGCACCTGTAAATAGTTGAAGAGCTTCCAATTACTGTTGTGTACCAATCAATATTTTTATGTCTTTTATCATTACTAAACATTCAAAGTCAGTCCAGCTTTTTAACACTGCTTTGATAAGTTATACGAGCTTAAGATCACACTCAAAACCCCCAAAAATAGCTCTTCCAGAAACATTGAGTAGTGACAGGATTCTTAAAATGGTTCATTTTATTCATAAACTTGATGCAAGTTTACAGATTATTGTACGCTGCTAAGTACTTCTGATTTTTTTAAAAAAAAACAACGAAACTCCCAATAAAATAAAAGAGAAGCTGAGGGTGTGCAACTGTCCATTGTGCTAGTCCATTAGAAATATTAAACAATGTGATAAGGTATCCAAAATATTAGCCTCAGATTTTCAAATGAGCTGCAGGAAACTCATAGAATTTGTCCTTTGATTTAAGGCGGCTAAGACAATTCGATAGAAACAATATGTACAACCGAGTAGCCAAAATCCTGGAAATGATCTGGAGAACGTCTTCAAAAGATCATAAGAATTTAAGGTCCACCAGGCAGAAGTCTTGTCTTTCAAACTGAAGTCCAGCATCTATGATCATCTTACAGATGTAACTTTGGAGGTAACAATGGTGGGGTACAGAAGAACCTGTCCATTTCTGGTCTTGGAAAAAAAAATGCCAATTCCTTTAATACAATCCCAATGAACAAAAAGAAAATGACCCCAAATTCAGCTCTAAAAATTAAAACACCTGACTTTTTAAAATTAAAGTAAGGCAATGAAAAAGCAGTTTACTGGCTGACAGCAGTTTCCAATCCAAGTTGGTTTTCTAAAAAAAGGAGGAGCAGGTCCCCATTATTTTCTGAACAAAATCCACGGTCATGATGATCGATGGTGATATTTAAAAGAAACCACCAATCTGAATCAAGATCTTCCTGGGAATTCAGTGGCTTTCGTTTTCTAAAAATTGGTCTTCTAAAAAAAACAACACAAGGAGTGTCTTGATTTTTGCCCATTGCTTTTTAAGTTCATTATCTACAAGTGATTGCAACAACCCGTTAATGGAGTTGATCTTGTTTAAGAGGCTTTTTAGCATTTTAAATAAATTTTCAAGCTTTACACCTGGGGCTCCCTCTTGAAAAGAAGATGCTAGCGTCCCAAAAATTATCAGAACAGCTCAGCAACCCCGGTAGATATGACCCGTTGCAAAGTTCTATTGGCACAGCCTGGCTCTGCTTAAACTAAGGAGTTGTAACCTCAAGACAGCCATGCAATAAAACATTTTAATTCTTTCACATTGCAAGCTTTCTCCTATATCACCGTTCGAATTAAGAAATTCTACAAACGTTCTCAAATTTTTAAGCCTGGAAAAAAAAAGATTGTTTTGTACAAGATCTGAAAACTCTACAACACACATTATCAAACTAACTTTATTCCTCTTGATTGGTTTTAAATAAAATATATTGCAATCCTTTGCAGTCCATTCTGGAGAAAAAAACAACAACAACCCCTGAAGTGCATAGAAAAGTTGATAGGAAATTTTAGTAAACCAGGAATGCAGTTTGAGAGATTCAGTACTAAAATGCAGGTATGTTCAATCTATTGGGAAAATATAGGAAAGTCTTAAATTGTTCTGCCCAAAATATTTGTCCGATGAGCAGAACAGTATGGCTGTAATTTATATTGGATATCCACTAATTCATTTATGAGCTGTTATGGGGCATTTATAGCTTGAGTCTGCATGGAAATAAAATCTTTTACTGATATTGGTCCAATAAGTGTGGCCTTCAGTATTATCCATCTTCTTTTGGAGGTGTGAACCAGCCTGGAAGAAGAAGAAAATAATTGTCAGATACGCAGGGACAATAGTAAATGCTTTTATGCTTTACAATAATTATATATGGTATCCCAGAAGTCTAGAATGCATGTCGAGATGTAAAACCCACTGAAGGACACTCGTTTACCACATTTCTGGGATGACTGTGTGACTAACTGAACAACAACGGTGGCAAGAAGAGTTGTCAAATGAGGCAAAACTCCCTTAACAAATTTCTCACTTAGCAACACAAATTTTGGGTTCAATTCAGACGGACATGTACAAGAGATACATGGGGGGTACAGTGGCTTAAAATGCCCCCTCCCCTTTCCAGTTGCTCTCTTCTGGTGTTATACTTACAAAACTATGGGTTTTACATACATACCATACATACCATTTTTCTCATGTAACTGTACTAGAGATTTATAAGACTGCTGTGCTCTTGCTAGATTGTATTGGCTCTGAAAGAGAGAGAATGGGTTTTTAAGGTTTTCCTTCTCAGGAGACAAAAATCGGGTCTGACAAAGAAGACGTTGAGATGGTGGACAGCTCAGAGATTTATACAGAAACCTTCACGTCATGCTAAGGCAAAATCCAACCAGGGTTTTGGAATAAACTGCAGATGCCTGAGTTCGATCAACACACCTTAAGATGTAAGCCATGATTTACACCTCACATTGACTGGCTCCACTGAGGGTAGGACAAGAAGTAATGGGTGGAAACTAAGAACTAAGAAGAAATTTCCTGACAGTTAGAACAGTTAATCAGTGGAACCACTTGCCTCCAGAAGTTGTAAATGCTCCAACACTGGAAGTTTTAAAGAAGAGATTTGAGTACCATTTGTCTAAAGTGGTGTAGGGTTTCCTGCCTACGCAGGGGGTTGGACTAGAAGACCTCCAAGGTCCCTTCCAACTCTGTTATTATTCTTATTCTAACAACGCTGAGAAGCTAGAGGGATGTACGAAAGGCACCCCTGTTTTATTTACCAAGGAGAGCTTTTATTTATTTCATTTTTAGAACATTTATATAACTTCCTAACATGCTCCTGACCAGGCATGGCTGGCTGGGGAATTCTAGGAATTGAAGTCCACACCTCTTCGTGGGGATGAGATTTGTGTGCAAACTGTATTTTGGTTCCATGGATTTGCTTTAAAACCTGGACATGAAGTGATCAAACAACCCCCCCCCTGCTTTGACAATGAAGCTTAAGCCCGCTGGTTTGTAGCAGAAGAGACAAATGGAAGTCTTACAACAACTGGGAACACACTATGGTGTCGCTTACCTTATTTGCGCCAAACTGAACTCTGGCTTTCCCTTTGACTAACGTGGCATTGATCTGCATGATAACTGACTCTGTGGAATAGGCGCTGCTCCAACCCTAGAAACACGGGGGGAGGGTCCGTGGGGGGGGGGGGGGGAGGAAGAATGTGAAGGAAAGCCCTCCAGAATCAGCAGTATCCATGGAGTTGTTATTATTAGTATTGTTATTATTATTGGTTAATCTTTAGTGAGATTCACAGCCTTTGCAGCTGGTTGATAGCTCAACAGCTTGAGTCCTAACCAAGGACCTAGGAACTGTTCAGGGAGCGTCGGAGGATATAAGCTGTTCCAAGTAAAGTGGGTTTTTTTGTAGAATCAGGGTATTCAAGCCTGATAAATTCAGAATTTCCAAATAGTGAGGTAGCCCTTTAGGTATTGCTCCAAGGGCTCCAATTACAATTGGGATAACAAACAATTTATTTTTCCAAAGTCGCTCAACATTATTATTATTATTATTATTATTATTATTATTATTATTATGATGATCATGATCATCATCTTTATTGTCAAAGTACAATATGTGTACAATGAGATTGGCTGATGCACCCTCCCCAACACAACTCACAGTGAGGACAGAAGCCCCTAACCCAGACCCAATCTTATTACACTGAGAGTCATGGACAGGTGGTCCTCAAATTACAACCTTTTGTTTAGCCACCATACAGTGACAACGACACACAAAAAAGGGGACTTGTGACCAATTCTTGCTCTTAGGTCTGTCACTCCCCCGGGGAACGTGATCAAAATTTGCACACTCGGCAACCGTTGTGAGTTTTACAACAGTTGCAGCCACTTGAGATCTTCCCAACCAGCAAAAATGAATTTTGGGGTGGGGGGAACCAGATTCATTGAATGACCACAACAAAAAGTTCAGTGGTTTGTTTAACAACTCTGGCAAAAAAAATAAAAAAAAATCATAAAATCGGGCATGACTCACTGAACAGCCACTTGTGGTCATAAGTCAAGGATTACCAGTACAAAAACATTAAGTGGTAATTCCACCATGGGCAGCCACCCTCCAGTCCTCCCATTTACCTGTTTAGTTAGAAGCTCCATGCATAGCGCACCTCCACCCAGAACGTACCTGAGACAGATAAAAGGCACACTGAGAACACTTCCAATATTTATTTATTTAGATATTAAAATTTGTATGCCACCCATCTCTCTAAGCGAAGGACTCGAGGTAGCTTACGATACCATAACGAACAGAATGCAACCCTTATAGCATTAAAACATCAGACATTAAAAGCTAAAACATTAAAATCAACATTGAAATGGATTTTAAAAAAAATCAATGCGTAGATAGAGTGGGAAGCAAGGTTTTGTACTAGTCTACTAGCCACCTCCAAAATGGGTTGTTAAAGTCATCTTTAAACTTAAACTTTTTTAGTTAAACTTATGGAGACAGAAGCCCAAAATTTGCAAACCCCCCCCCCCTTTTTTTTGGTCTATTTGCACCAAGTCCATTTCACAGGTGACAGTTTGGAAATGGAGATAATCAAAGCTGTAAAACCATTTGGACTTGGCAGATAGCTTGATTATCAGCTCTGCCATGAGAATAATTTAGCAGACAGACAGTTACAGAAGGTAGCTAAGCACTGTGCAACTATTTCGATATCCCTTGTGTGACAACAATCTCGTTTTCATTCGGGGCATTTTTCACCATGCCCTTTACTACTCTCTGAGTGGCTTAGGAAACCTTGATAAACATTAAAATTGTAACCCTTTTAACTCTTGTTCGTACCTCCCCAGTTAGAACAGGAATCCCCTTAATATCTTACATGCCAAAATTTCCTACTCAAAGAAAATAGATTTACTGCTGATAGCAGAAAAATCTGGAGACTGGAGAAAAAGGGTTCTTGATAGATTACAGAACTACTAGCACTTCTCGTACTATTCTCTTACTATAAGGCTTCCGAGGAAATACTGAAAAAGCTGCGCCAATGATTGTCCAGAAGGGTAAGCGGAATATCAGATTGGTCATTCCTGAATCATGACTGATAAAAAAAAAATATTGGGACCTACCCTCCACTAAGTACTGGAGAGACCACGCGCACAAATGGAGGGTCAAATGGAAAATTATCCTGAAAACAAAATAAGAAAGAAGCGTTAAGTCTTTGGTCATTTGAGCTCGGCAGAGGGCTGAAATTTCATTAAAGAATACGCTAGTTAAAAGAAACCGTGAATTGCTTCTTTCCTTCCTACCTTAAAAGAGAAGCTGAGCAAAATATATTCCACGCCTTCTTTCTCTTTTAAGACTTGGAGATCGCTGTGTAACGGACTGTCAGGATCGACCCTGGCCATGGACACAAGAAAGAGAAAAAGGAAGAAGAGTTGCAATAAGTGCCATGCCCCTGGCGGAGACTGACTCTGAGGGAGAGGAGGAACAGCCGACAGGGAGTGGAAATGTGGCTCCGGAGGTGGTGGAGGAGGCTGAGGAAGGGCAGAGGCTGGCTGGGCAGTCAGAGGAGGACCCAGGCCCATCCCCTCTCCATCTTAGGGCACGCAGGGAGAAGAGAATAAGGGAGAGATGTGGTCTACTGGGGAGGAGAGGGCCTTGATCCTCTTCATGGGCTGCAGCTGTGACAACTGGATAAAAGGATGGACATGCCTACGGGCCAGTGCTGGAAACAAAGCATGGAAATATCTCTAGTTTATTGTTCCTCTCTGAGTTTGGCGTCCTTCCCAGTGTGTGTTCTGTTATCTGTGGATGTCCTCCAGCCCTTATCTTGCCTGATTTGTGTTGTTTTTTACTCTTTATAATTTATAGGCATTTTTAGTTTAAGCGGCATTTCCTCCTCCTTGTAACTACTCGTGTGGGACATTTTGTCTCCAGTCAAGGATATTTGGAGCTTGGAAGCAAAGTGAAGGAATAAAAGGGGCTTTACCTGTTTTTTGTGACTGTGTTTATTTTGTATCCCACCCTGGGTCATCACAATAAGTGAACTGACATGCCATCCTATCTCCCACACTCTCTTCAAAGCACAACCCATCGCCCTGGGGAGTGACTTGCCTACAATTTCGAGGACTGAAATGCCATGGAAAGGATAAGGAACTGGGAACTGCATAGCTATGTCTCAATTTATGACCGGTTGCTTAGCTTCCCTGGGAAGTACTTATCATCCAGTGTTGGAGTTCTGACAGCTGTCCCCCCATGGTCCCGTGGCCACCTTTTTAGACACTCAGAAACATCTATGGTCATTGCAAAATGCAATATCCCTTGGTGACATGACCACAGCTTACAATTTTGCCCCAAATTAGCATTTGCTTTTTTTTTTAAGCAAAATTGGCTCATCGTGAACCATTAGTTCACTTAACAACAACTGCAAAACAGGTCATAAAACTGGGTCAGTCCCACAGGTGACTCAATTTGCAACCGTGATGGGCTGGCTCCATTAAGGTTGTAATTTAAGGGGTATCTGTAATCTCAACCCTTCTGGAGGGGATTAACTCTCCAGTAAAGAGAAATTGTTATTTGAGTGACAAAGTGAAGATACAACAAGATAGTAGGATTCTGGCCGTGGCCCTAATTAAATCATGAGCTTTGAGCCAAGCTTCTAAAACTTCAAAGGATTCATTAGGAGAGAACATGTTGGTATGACCTGTGTGTAGCCGATTCTGAGAGACGTAATTCACTGTCACCTGGTTTCCCCCCACCCTTCTGGGTGTAACGTAATTCATATTCTCCAACAAAACACGTTCATAGCCAAGAGTCATCAATCACGTTCTCCAATTGGAGATTTGCAGGGCAGAAACTCCAGTCGCTTAGTTATAATCTTTGCAAGATATGAATGGAATGCACTTTCGATTCCAAACTGCCGCCCTGCTCTTCCAAACTCCTTCCCCCCCCAACCCCTTTCTGTTGGCAACTATAAAACGGGCATAGAAAATGTTTTTATCAGTTGACAAGTAGACTTTCTCAGGTGTTTGTAAGTCTCAGATCTGAGTTCCTGCACAGCGCCAATCCTTGCTCTGGTCACAAAACGGGGCAAGCAGGGAAACCAAGCTGACTTACTTTAGAAGTTTTACATGCCACTCATACAGGCTGTCATTCACGAGTTCCACTGAATAAATTCCTGTAGGGGGAAAAAATGAAAAAAAAGAAAAAGAAAAAAGAAGGTGAGCTTGATTGGGTAATCAGGATTTGAGATGGGACTTGGAACTTCGCAAAGTTTCAAAGCAAGCCAATTTGGCACAAGGAAGGTTTTCCCCCCCCAATGTCAGGGACGTTTCAATCTCTCCATGAATTCCCCCTACTCTTTATCCAAGTTCTCTGAATAAAAGACACTTTCATGAATATAAAAACATAAATCGACTCAAATGCAGTGGTTCCGTCACATCGATGCTAAGCATCTGCTCCATTATTCCAAAGGTATTTTTGCAAAAGGCAACTGGGCTTTGTTTTGTTTTTTTCTCCCTTGAAGACATTTCGCTTCTCCTTGAAGAAGCTTCTTCAGTTCTTCAACTTTTTCACTTCTTCAGAACTGAAGAAGCTTCTTGGATGAGAAGAGAAACGTCTTCAAGGATAATAAAAACAAAAAAACAAAGAAAGGCTTGGTTTTTTTTTTTGTTAAAGCACCTTTGGGACAAACCCTGATCTGGAGGGCTGACAATTCTCCATTCTCACCTGCTCCATAATGGTGGCTTCATCTCTGGATATTTCCCAACCAGATATTAAGCAGGTCGACCTTGCTTGGCATCTTCAAGGTCAGCCAAGAGTTGCCATCTGCCAGGAGGACAGATGGTTCCATCCCACGCCAACAAATAAAAAACTTTCCAATAACATCTATGAACAAGACTGAAGAAGGTTTCTCTGGGAGGAAGCTTTGCCATTTGGTTGGTTGTTGTTATTTTTTTAAAAAAACAAACTAGGACGTAACTATTTAACCAGTGCAAAAGATGCACACAAAATTTTAAACAACCAAACAACAATAACCTGCCGCATTCTGAACCTTACAATTCGTTGTGAGCACCAACATTGAATTTACCGAGCGCTTTTCTGCTGTTGACAGCTGTTCTGACCCAGGCTTCGTAAACCGTAGCCACAAACTTATTTTAAAAACAAAGCCTATTTTATTGCAACGCTGGGAATTGTTTTCATTCCCAGACGGAGTTAATCTCAAATAGTCCCCCAAGATAAGTACACACCTTTCAGTTCTGTGAAGTGCTGCCAAAAAGAGAAGTATCAAATGAACTAGAAAAGAAACCAACCGATGTACAAAAAAAAAAAACCCCAACCAAAGTACCAAGAGCTTCAAGGAGGACTCGGAATCTATCAAACTACTTTGCTTCCTGCAAAGGTTTCATCATCTTGGCCTGACTTTATCCCTTATGGGAGGGGCAATCACTTCCCAGCCTTACTCCCGAGTTGCCCCTTTTGTTTAAGCTGCTCTTGCCTTCTAGCAGCTCTGTGCATACGTGCACTGGGAACAGGCTCCCCTTACTCCTCTGCCTCGCTGCTGCCAGACTCCAGAGGCTCCGGAGGTAGCACCCCACTCCCACATGGTCCTGGCCTCATCTCTGCATCGGACGCAGGACCCTTGTCCAAGTCCTCTCCAGACTCCCGTGTGAAAAAAGTGTGAAAATGATCAGGTCACTTTTATCAGTGCCGTTGTAACTTCGAACTGTCACAAAATGAACCATTTGTAGGATTCCAGCAATCACCCTAATTAAATCATGATTCTAGAGCCAAGCTTCAAAAAACTTCAAAGGATTCATTAGAGGCAACATACAGGCACTGCCCTGTACGAAGCCAACTCTGGCATATGTAATTTACAGTCTCCTGTGACCCTGTTTCCCCTCCCCCCCCAGGTGTGTCATAAATCAGATTCTCCAATTGAGCACATTCACAGACTGGGTGTCATCATTCACGTTCTCCAATTCAATATATTCCCGGGCAAAAGCTCTGGTATTTTAGTTACAATCTTTTAAAGAGAAGAGTTGGAATGTACGTTCGCTTTCAAATTGCTGCACTGCTCTTCCAGATTTCCTTCCTCCCCCCCCCTCATTTTTTTATAGCAACTACTAAAACAGGCATAGGGACGTTTTATGAGTTGACGCCGTCGTAAGTTAAGAACTCCCTGTACAAACTATAAATGCGAGAGGAGACCAACGCAAGAGTGTTTTCTCATGCAGAAGGGAGAAGCCACAACAGGAAGCCTTCCGCTTAGTTAAGCAGATGAAGCAATCAGTGGAAAATAGATAATTGCAGGGAGGGGGGGGAGAATGAATTATTATTATTATTATTTTCTATTTTTGGTGTTTTTGGCAAGAAAATCATGTTCCCGGAAAACATAATTTTCAGCTAAAAAAAGTATTGTCTCTCACAGTAGCCAAGGAGGTGCTACTGCATTTAATTGGGGCCCAGGTCTGGAGCTATGGTTGCAAAGGGAGTTTGCAGCCTGACCTCATTAGCACTTTCTGAGAAGTAGGCAAAGAAATGAGGGCTCCTTGATGTCTGTTTGTCATGTCACCTGTGGTATTTTGAGAAGGTGTAAAAAAAAAAGAAGGTTTTCATTTGAATTGAAGAAAAGGAAAAGTGAGCTTTTGAATAAAGGGCACCCAAGAGAGAGAATTCACTTGGAAATAATGTCCCGATAACACAGCTGGATTAAAAAAAAAATACCCAGCATCATCTAAATATCACACCATCTCTCTTGCACGCAAATATGACGCATATAATTCCAGATTTTTTACAGATTGATGGTGCAAATCTATGCTTGTTCTTTTAAAAGCTTCCTGTGGAGTTTAATTTATTTAAGTAGGATAGGGATCATAGTTTGAGACAGGCTTACCGAAAGAAATCATGCCTATACTGCGAGACATCACATTATTTGCTCCATTAGGAAAATAAATGACTCACCTGTCTTAAAACTTTGTGACTTATATATATCCCTGAGCTCTTTCATTAGTCGATCCGACGCTTGGACAGACCCAGAAACTGCACCCTGCAGACGGAAAAAGGGAGAAAAACCCATGTAATCGACTTGAATAAACTGTAAAATAAAAACACCATATACTGATGGTCCTTGACATAATCATGATTTAATAAACCATTTGAAGTTACTGAAAAAAGAGATTTAAGACAATACTTGCACTTACAACTGCCACAGGGTTCCCATGGTCGTGTAATCAAAACTCAGGTGACTGGCAAGTACTTATCGTGGATTTTAAGTATCCCAAAGTCACATGATCGCCATCTAGGACAAGGCTCACCAAACGTGTTGACTTTAAGACTTATGGACTTCAACTCCCAGAATTCCTCAGCCAACCAAGGCTGGCTGAGGAATTCTGGGAATCAAACTCCGTAAGTTGTAAAGTCGCCAAGTTGGGTGAGCCCTCATCTAGGCCTTTCCCAACTAGCAAAATCAAGGCAGGTTACACTTAACAATCACGATGATTCCCTTAATGACTTTGGGAAAAGAAAGGCTGAGTTGGATGTGACTCACTTAATTGACCACATTACTTAGCGATGGACGTTCCAGCCTCAATTGTGGTCATAAGTCAAAGGCTATAACATAGGCATGTTAGGATTCCGACAGTCACCCCCATTTAAATCACGAGTCTAGAGCCAAACTTCCAAAACTTCAAAAGGATTTACTGGGAGTTAACATGCCGGCACTGCCTGGGTGTAGCCGACTCTGAGACGCATAATTCATTGTCACCCTTGACCCTGGTTTTCCTCCCTACCCCTCTGGGTGTATCATAATTCATATTCTCCAATGGGACACCTCCATAGCCAAGTGTCATAAATCATGTTTTCCAATTAGATCACCTAGTTACAATCTCTGAAAAACTATTTATGGAATACGCTTTCGATTCCAAGCTGCCGCATTGCTCTTTCAAACCCCTTTCCCTCCTCCTCCTCCTCCCTTTCTGTTGGCAAAGTCTAAAATAACGTGAATTTATGGCCAGTGAAGTTGTGTCTCTAACGCCCTCCGTCCACTTTCCATTCTTTCATACGTGGAAGTAATCTTTCTAAAATGGATTCCTTCCCTCTCACCTACCAAGCACTTACGTTTAGGTGGTCCTCCCTTTGATTCTTCCTGATTTTTTCCAAAATGGCCAGATTCTCCTTCTCGATGCCCTCATCCTCGGTTTTCTTCCCTTCGGTAGCTCCTTCCTCCTTCATGTCATAATGATCCAGATCGATGTCCTACGAGACAAGATTGCAGGGTGGGGGAAAAGCAGAAGGCAACCGATCGGTCAAGATCACCGCCGGCAGCTTGGCGGTTTGCGTGGATCGTGCCTATTTCTCGGCTTGGGGGAGAAACACGAAGACACGAGTGGCTCGGGTTTTAGAAGAGCAAACCAGCAAGGCTTCCAATTGCCACGAATGGAGCAGTTGTGGAAGGGAGCATGGAGATTCCAGAAGATCTGGAATAGGTAGGTGATGAAATGAAAAGGCCTGATAGCAGTGTTTCAAAAAAGAGGGAGTTCAAGCTATTCTCCAAAGCACGTGAAGGCAGGACAAGAAGCAACGGATGGAAACTAACCATCAGGAAAGCACTCCAGAGGGTTAATGTCATTGTCCAGAGGGTCATGGGTTGCCCTCTCCCCTCTTTGGAAGAGCTTTATGGCTCCCACTGCCTTAAGAAAGTTCAAAACATTCTTAAAGATCCATCTCATCCTGGGAACCCTTTTTTTGACCTATTACCATCTGGCAGATGGTACAGAATAATAAAAACAAGGACAAATAGGCTGAAAAACAGCTTCTATCCCAGGGCAGGAGCTCTGTTGAATTCTACCGTATAGTGCAATATGAATGCAATATCAGGGGTTTTCAATTCAAGAAATGGAGTGTGAAAGATGTGTGTTTGTGTTTATTGTCACGGTCATGATGTGCACCGAAGATGGTGTTTGATTTTGTTGAACGAGGTGCAGTGACAATAAAAAGTAAACTAATCAAGGAGAGAAGCAACTTAGAACTAAAGAGATGCTTCCTGAAAGGATAATTAACCAGTTGGAATGACTTGTTTCCAGAAGTTGTGGCTGCTCTATCCCTGGAAGCTTTTAAGACGAGATTGGACAGCCAGAGCGCAAACCTTACTTTGAGTAGAGTCATGTGAGATGGAACTGGAAGGTAAGACCAACAGCAGGGGAGGGTAATCTGCCCCGGGGTGGCTTGATGATGTTGGTGGGAAAGTCGGTCGCATCTTCCAGAGCTGCAGGAGTCACAGGACTGGCCCTTTGGTCATCCCGGAGCAGCTCCTCCAGTCCATGGCAGGCCGGTGCACCCGGGTGGAGGAGTAGCTGCGCTGGGATGACCAAAGGGCCAGTCCTGTGACTACGGCAGCTCTGGAATATGGAACCGGCTTTTCCACCAACATCAGCAATTTTTGTCAGTCAAAATTCATATTAGTGGTCCGCGGGATTTAAAATGATGAGTTTGGTGGTCCCTGAGGTCCAAAAGGTTGACGACCCCTGGACTAGATGACCTACGAGGTCCCTTCCAACTCTTGTTATTCTGGACTGCTCCAGACCTGGCCAGCTCTGGAAGAAGATCCGACGGGTTCAAACAAAGGGCCGTTGTAAGAGGTGGAACCAGACAATACAGCAAGACAATTTGATGCCTCCCAGATGTGAGGAGACTCTCCTTGCTGGCTAGAATCCAGAACATCTGGAGAGCACCAGGGTTGGAGCCTTGTTGGTAGCTCTTCGGTGACTTCCTTAGACCCTCCCACCTTCGTTGTCTGGACAGATGAAAGATCCAGAAGCAAAAAGGAAGAGTAGAGCAAGCTGCAAGCGAGCGAAGACACCTACCTCACCCATGTCTTCCTCCTCTTCCTCCTCTGATGTCACCTCTTCGGTCGTTCCATTCTAGAACGTAACAAAAGATCCTCATCCATTAAATACGCATTTCCTTTCTCCTCCCCCCCCCCTCCCACCAGGCAGCAGATGGGCAGAGCAGCTATGGGGCCGAGTTCCACTAATGGCTGTGGGACAGAGACCCCGTTTTTTCCCCTTACTTTGCTGGTACTTTGCTTGTGTGGAGCGACCATTCAAAGTTACAATGGCACTGAAAAAAGTGACTTATGACCATTTTTCACACTTTCGACTGTTGCAGCATCCCCACAGTCATGAGAGGCCGAGCAAGAAGATGCGTGCCTCGATGTGAGTGATGTTGAGTTGGCCACACCCAGCCCATAACATGACCAAGCCCCACCCACCAACTAAGCCACGCCCAAAATTTTTAATCCCACCCCTGGCCGGTAGCGCCGATGCGCCAGCAGTGGAGACCCAACCACTTCCCTCCGACACTCTGCTGTTGGGTCCACCTTCATGTCTTGCTTTGGAAGCGCAGGTCGAACTGCGCTTTGCCAAACTGGGCCAAACTGCTGAAGCGACAGGATTGCAGGAGGCGCGTCGGAAAGCCTCCGGGCCTGTGCAAAGTGTGCGTTTTGTGCGTTCTTGCAAAAGTACGTGCGCGCGGCGTGCAAAGCGCACCCGCCAAGCCACGCCCACCGAACCGGCGGTAACAATCTTTTGAAATGCACCCCTGGTTTCTAGGTGGGGCCCTTCGCCTAGCAGAAGCGAACAGAACAAATTCCCATCGTGCCTGGCAGAGTCACCGCCGAGCATCACGCAAGAGTTGCTGGCTCTGGCCAAGCAATGACAGGTTTTTCTGAGTCACCTCTCCCGCCCTGGAAACTCGGCCGTGTTCTCTCCCTGCTTGGCAGGGCGTTTCGGTCCCCTGCCCTGAAGCCGTTTCATCGGGCCCTTTACCTGGCCAGATGGCAAAGGTTGGTCTAACATTTCGACATCCGGATGCTGGGGAAGGTTGTAGAGGCGGCAGAGGTCGCAGATCAACCGCTTCAGCTGCTGGAGAAGCTGCGAGGGGAAAGAGGAAAAGAAGAAGAAGAAGAAGAAGAAGGAGGAGGAGGAGGAGGAGGAGGAGGAGGAGGAGGAGGAGGAGGAGGAGGAGGAGGAGGAGGAAGAGGAAGAAGAAGAAGAAGAAGAAGAAGAAGAAGAAGAAGAAGAAGAAGAAGAAGAAGAAGAAGAAGAAGAAGAAGAAGAAGAAGAAGAGTTTTAGTTGTTTAGTTTACTGTCATTGCACCCTGTACAACCACATTAAATACCACTTTCAGTGTACATTATTTAAAGGGGCATCCGTGGTACAATCCACAATTCACCACGGCCCGCTGGCCACGAGACAACTCCCGCAGCTCAACCGCTTCAGAATAAAGAGTTATATTGACGTCAAAGAAATGCGGGGACAGAATCCTTAAAAGAAAGGTTGCAAAAAAGGAGGACAGGATGAAATGTGAAGGACAATAAAATAAAATAATTGTTTCATTTATTCCGAATTCTTAAATCCATCCTCATCTTCTTTTAACGATCTACTGCTTGGGCAGGGGGTTGGGCTAGATGACCTACAAGGTCCCTTCCAACTCTGTTAATCTGTATCTGTATCCCTTGCAGGGTGGAGCCTGGGCAACTGAATGGAGAAGTGTTTTTTTTTACTGGCCGGATGCCCTTCCTGTCACCAATGTGGAGTTTCCCCCCCCCCCACCAGATATATTCTCATTGTGCCCAGAGAGAGAGAAATATTTTCCTCTACCTAGGATTGAACTCACGGCCTCCTGATTGTGGGGTAGGAGCTTCACCTCACCACTCTTATTTCGAATTATTAAATTGAATTGTTAAATCGTCCCGTGGCAAGTGGCGGGAAGTTTTACCATGGCACATTGGCCGCAGTGCATTCTCCCGTTCCACCGAGTTTGGTGGGTGTTTTGGTGGTTGGTGGCCTCTTCAGCTCACGTCCCACGAGGAATGCTGGTTTACTTGCGTTACAGTGCAAAGGAAAGCAATTTCTACCAACGAATTCAGGGATTAAGGAAAGATCAAATCCTTTTCTTGATTGGTGTTTGAGCTTCAGTTCTCACTAAATTCCCCTCGGAAACGTTTCGTTCCAATTATCCTAGCAAAATGGGCAGAAAAAACCCTGGTCCACCTCTGATTAAAATTCATGTCGGAACGCACGAAAAATAAATACATCAGTGATGACCCAAAGGGGCGTGGCACAAAGGCAACAAAATCACAAAAGTAGGCAAAGTCCCTTTAATTCCTCCAACTTGGCCCCCAATATCCAGTCATCATCGGCTGGAGAAAAAGAACAGTTTTTAAAGGGAAGAAATTCAAGTCTGAACCCAAAGTACATCTACATTATAAATAAAAAGCAACACAAACCATGCTGCAGCAATTAACGAGACAGGGCAGGATAAGGAGTTGCAGACTTCAAAAGCGAAACACCCACAGTTGGGAGGACGCCAGAACCCAGATAAGACTTGACAAACCAAGATAATGCATGCTTTGCTTCCGGCAAGGTGCTGTGCGCAAACGCCCATGTTAAATCCTCTTTTTCCCAGCTGCAGCTAATGAAGGGAATCAGGGCCCTTTTCTCCCCAGTAAGCCACGTTGCTCCCTTCTCAGTTCCTCCCTGCGTGCCCTAGGATGAAGAGGGGGTGGGCCCGGGTCCTCCTCTGAATGTCCAGCCAGACTGTGCCCTTCCCCAGTTTCCTCCACAGCCACCGGAGCAACACTCCCACTCCCTGTCAGCTGCTCGATCTCGCCCTGGGAATCAGATTCCAACAGGGGCATGACATCATCATATCTAGAAGCCTTCTCTCTGTTTTCTACAGGTGGTTCTTGACTTATGACCTTCCATTTAGGGACTGTTCAAAGTTACAACAGTACTGAAAGGGCTTACAACAGATCCTTACACTCCAAAATCTGGGTGCAGGGCATGTATTTACGGCGGCTCAAAGAGTTCTCGGCCCCCTGGATTGCTATTTGCCACCTTCACAGCCAGCAAGTCGATGGGTTTGCTTAACGGCTGGGCGATTCACTTTAACAACTTGCAGCGATTCGCTTCGTGGGTGCGCCTCACTTAACAACCATTTGGCTTTAGCCAACCGACATTCGGTGGCCGTAAATTGAGAACTGCCCGTACTATGGTTCTCTATAGGCAGCAAGTCCTTGGAATTAGTCAATGATTCTCCAGCCTCTGAAAATAAAACCTTTGGCAGGTGGCTTAGGGAAAACAATTCCAAAATCCAATTGCTGCATATGCAAACATTGAAAATGGATTCTAAGTGCCAGCAGGGAGACAATTAAGTTTGCCAATAAAAAAAAAAGAAAGAAAGAAAAGAGCCTTCTATATTCTAAGAGTTCTGCAGCATGACTAAAGGGAAAAGAGAAGCCGGCATTCGAAACCAGGATCCAGCCCGCTGCAAGACAGCGATAAGAGAAAAAAGCTGTTTTTAAAAAAAATTCTACCTCCTGGGCTTTCATGGTGCTAGAAAGGATGTTTGCAAAGAGAGTTTTCCTCCCTGCTTTTTCCTGCATATGCAGAATCCTGGGATGTAAATCAAAATAATAACCTTAAGTTATTTGCAAAAATGTTTTTTTCCCCACCCTGTGGCACACTGCAGGCAGGTTTCCCACCTCCAGCAGGATTTATTCATTTCCTGGCTCGCAGCTGCCGAAGGATTTGTGAATGTCATTTAGCTGGGGTGTTAGTAATTAAAACGCATTATTGACCAGATGAGATCATTGTTATTTTGCGAAGGGTTTCGCTGGATCAGGGCTGAGCTTGAACTCCCATTCAAAACTGAATCCTTCCGAGATTTGAACCCGAGGCTCCCTCCAAGAGTAAAGAAAGCTCAAGGAAAGGACTCCTTACCAAAGTATTGCTTTTAATATCCTCTAATCGCTCCAGCACTGAAGTCAAGTTGGGGTCATCTGATTCCACAAACCATATTGGCGATGAAGATGGGTAAGACTCCTGCATTTTGAAAGAGAACAAGATGGTTTAGCACAGAAAAAACCCCAAAATTCCTTAGCAGGAATTCTCGAAATGAAATGGCTCCCACCAGCAAATAAACCCCACCGATGCATCTCATCATTCAAATCTGCTGGCTTGACTCCGGATGCAACCAGAGCTGCCTTCACCCAGGCAGCCAAGCGACCACAAAAAAGTAAGAGACACTTGCAGTATTTCTGACCCCCAAAATAGGAAACAGTTCCTATCTGGCCAGCATGAAGCAGTTTGTTTATCGCAGTTTGTTTATCGCAGTTCACGGGTGGGCAAAACCTATCTTGACTCTAGAGACACCACGGCAAACTCTTAGTGCCCTTGGCTGAAAAATGGCATTGCACCCTCAAGAAGAGTCTGTCTACCTTCTCCTTCCTTTCTGCTAAGGAAACTGGAGAGGTCCCCTGGGATAATTTCGCAACGAACCCTGCGAGGTAGGCAACGGCTATGGGTGGTTTGGCATCATCCATTGACCCAAAGGTGTTTATTTTTTTCAAAAGGCAACTGGACTTTTTTTTTCTTTTCCTTTCCTTGCAAACATTTATTCGAACTGAAGAAGCTTCTTGGAGAAAGAAAGAAGGGAAAGGAAGTCCGGTTGCCTTTTGGAAAAGTGTCTTTGGGATCATCATGACTTTGGATGATTGAAAGCTGAGCGCCAAAGAATGGAGGCCCTTGGACTCTGGTGCTTGGAGGAGGAGAGACCCTTGGACTGCAAGGCCATCCAACCGGTCGGTCCTAGAGGAGATCAGCCCTGCTCTTGAGAAGGCCAGATCCTGAAGATGAAGCTCAAAGACGTTGGCCACCTCATGAGAAGGAAGGAAGGACTCCCTGGAGAAGAAGAGCCGAATGCTGGGAACGATGGAGGGCAATAGAAGAAGAAGGGGATGTCAGAGAAGGAGGTGGCTGGATGGAGTCACTAAAGCAGTCGGCGTGAGCTTCAATGGACTCCAGGGGATGGTAGAGGACAGGAAGGCCTGGAGGAACCTTGTCCAGGTGGACACGATGGGTCAGACATGACTTTACAACTAGCAACAAAAGACGTCACCTATTGAGGTTTGGAGATACGGGTCAATAGGAACTGGGCCTGATATCGTAACACCACACCATCCAAGCTCGGTCCTCTTTCCCTCCCTTTGCAAAACTCTTCAAACAGACCCGATCCTTGCAGATAGAAGACGAACCCATCCGGCAGAAGGCTGCTGGCTTTTCTCTCTTGGAAGCAGACCCCAGCCCCATCCTTGTTCCTCCATTGGCCATTGGTCTGGCGGGAGCCTAGACTTGCCCTCTCTGCAATTAGCAGGTAGGAGAACAAATCTGTGCCAACGCGAAGCACACATTTGCACACCTTCCGATCAAAGAGCCTGCCTCGATTTCATTTTAGGGCCTGGGTAGATCCTGCTGCTCCCACTTGCAATGTTTGCACTGCCTTTTTACAACCTGCCTCTGAATGACCAACCTTGCTCCCTTCCCCCCCTCCCCCCAGCCCGCACCTTTCAATCTAGCACAGGTTTATTATAAATCTTTTTAATAAAAGGCATTGGTTTGCACGTCTCGTGAGTTTGGAAGGCCAGAGGCTACCAGGATTCTGCCTACAAGCCTGCTCTATGGAAACAAATTTGATGAGGTTTTTTTTTCCCAACTTCAGAGCTTCTGGAATTCCCCAGGGGGGTCTCCTCCCCCTACCCAAATACCAACCAGGCTTAGCCACTAACGTCAGCCAAGGAAGCATCATCCTTGTGACGTGAAAGGGTGCTTCTGTCCAGGGACAAATTGACCTGGCTGCATTTTTTTAATCCAGGGTGTTGACGGCTTCACGGCTCAACTGCGTAAGGGTTTGGTTTTTTTTTTGTTTGTTGCCTGAATACAATGCTCTGTCTCGTGGGGAACAAACAATTCCCTTTTGAAGCACATCTTGTTTGTGGCACCTCCAATGCACAGAGACCCGGACCTGACATCATCCGGGAGCAATTTACATTGGCTTTGCCTTGGAGTTGGGTTCGAGTTCTGCAGGTGGCCCTCAACTTCACCACCAGAATTGGAACCCGAGTCATGTTTGATTTTATGACTTTTTTCTTCTTCTTCTTCTTCTTTAATGCTAAGGGAATCTGCAGGTTGTGAATGGCATTGTGTGGTTGTTGCATTGCTGGCTGGGGAACTCTGGGAGTTAAAGTAATTATTATTACCTTTTATTGTCAGAGCGCAACATGTGTACAATGAGATTGGCTGAGCCTCCCTTTGTACAGCCCAACAACCCCAACACAACTCACAGTGAGGACAGAAGTCCCTAACCCAGTCCCAATCTTATTACACTAGGTGACTTTGTTGCACAACGCACCAGCCCCGCAAGCTTATCCTACTATGTTATTTTCCCTCCAGGAGTCTGAAAGCCCACGGGTAGAAACTGTTCTTCAGCCTGTTGGTGCAGCTGGCTATGCTTCTCTTATCTCCTTCCTGATGGTAGGAGAGTGAAAAAGTGCTGACCAGGGTGTGAGTCATCCCTGAGGATTTTCCTCACTCTTCTAAGGCAGCGAGCCCTAGTGAGGTCATCTAGTGTCAGGGAACAGCCCGTGATGTTTTATGCTGTGCTCACCACCCTCTGAAGCATCTTTCCACCCGCATCCATCCATCTTGAAGATGCCAAAACTGAGAAAATCCTGCTCTGTCCAAAAAGAATATATTTATTTATTTATTAGAATTTGTCAAACAAAAATGAGAAAAAAATCCCCTCACATCCCGGACATAAACTGTTTCAACTCCTTCCCTCAAAACGATGCTATAGAGCATTGCACACCAGAACAACTAGACACAAGGGGATTTTTTTCCCCAAACGCCCTCACTCTGCTACACAAATAATTCCCTCAACACTGTCCAACTATTTACAAAGTCTGCATTACTATTACTATTAATCTTCTCATCACTCCTTATCACCCATCCCCTCCCACTTGTGACTGTATGGCTGTAACTTTGTCGCTTGTATTCTTACGATTTGTATGGACTGTTTCCTAGTACGATTTGATTGCTTATTGTACCCTGTGACTATCATTAAGTGTTGGACCTTATGATTCTTAACTCTTCACAAATGTATCTTTTCTTTTATGTACACTGAGAGTATTTGCACCAAGACAAATTCCTTGTGTGTCCAATCACACTTGGCCAATAAAGAATTCTATTCTATTCTATTCTATTCCATTCTATTCTATTTTCAATTAGATTCTATTCTATTTTCTATTCTATTCTATCCTTATTGTACCCTATGACTATCATAAGTGTTGTACCTGATGATTCTTGACTCTTGACGAATGTGTCTTTTCTTTTATGTTCATTGAGAGCATTTGCAGCAAAGACAAATTCCTTGTGTGTCCAATCACACTTGGCCAATAAAGAATTCTAATTCTAACAAGAATAAAAGAATCAAAATACAACGACAGGGACGATAGGCATGTTAGTGCACTTATGCACGGCCTTTCTATTTATTATAGTATATAATATTGACCTCACCCCTTTCCTAAGAAGTCTGTAGGGGGCGTGCATAAGCGCACCAATGTGCCTACCACCCCTGTCCTATGGTTTCTTTTATATATATTTTATTTTTCTTATATGTATCCATGTATTCATAACTATGTTTTTACTTATACCTATTATCTTGTGAGCAGTTGACAAATAAAAATAAATAAACAGAATGGTCAATGTCTGGAATACTCTACCTGACTCTATGGTTTTTTCCCCAAACCCCAAATACTTTAACCTTAGACTGTCTACTGTTGACCGTGTCACCCCTTTCCTAAGAGGTCTGTAGGGGGCGTGCATAAGCGCACCAACGTGCCTACCGTCCCTGTCCTATTTCTTTTATTTTTCCATGTATTCATAACTATGTTTATACTTATACCTATTATCTTGTAAGCGATTGACAAATCAAAATAAAGTAAAATAAAAATATATCTATTACTCTTCCTGGCACGAAAGGCTACCGTTTCCTCCATACAGGAATCCCAGCAGGCCGTGTGCCAGCCACGGGGGTGAGGTTGAAAAGGCATTTGATTGAAATTCCTGTTTTTGTGACCTGGTGTCTAGCCAGGGCGCCAAAGCCCGCCATTCAAGGACGACTCACAACCCCGGCAACGCTGATGGTCTGACAACAGCTTTGTCCTTCTACGGCGCTTAACTAGGGAAGATAGGAAGCGTAGTTCTAAATATCCAGAAGGCACTGGAAGGAAAGAAAGCTGCTTTCTCCTTTCTCTGGGAGAGGATGCCACGAAAGAGTCCCAAAGAAGGAACATCTTCAACCTTCTACCAAAACCAACAGCGACTGGACAGCCTTCCTGTCCCCTAAAACCAGGAGTCGCAAACCTTTTGGACCTCGGGGACCACCAAACTCATCATTTTAAATCTCACGGACCACGAGTATAAATTTTTGACCGACGATGGCTTGCTGACATTTTCCCAGGGTCTCTGTAGAAAGTAGCCGAGACCCTGGGAAAATCCCCAAAAAGTCTGCAGGAAAATCCCCCCACTCCGTTTTGCTTCCGTTCGATCATTCTTTATTTCGGATTGCAGGATACCGTCTCCAGGGGAGAGAGAGTGAGCGAGAGACTTTTGGCTTCATGCAAGGAAAGCAGCAGAAGCCGCAGAAGTCTTTCTTTCTCTCCCCCAAACTCCGCCAGAAATGAGTCTTTGCCATCACAGCCTCTTGGAGCAGGAGGCCTTGCAGGGTCCCAAAGACTCATTTCTGGCGGAGTTTGGGGGAGAGAAAGAAAGACTTTTGCTGGTTTCCTTGCGTGCAGCCAAAAGCAGAAGAAGAAAGAAGCAGAAAGAAGTAGCCCGGTGGCCAGGCCAGGCACATGGGGTTAGTGGGGCAAGCCCCCCACCTGCCCTTTCCCCCCTCCCCTCACTACCTCGTGTTGTTTGCAATGCAAGCGACGCAAGCCTTGTGTTCCTGCGCAGCCTGGATTAATTGCTGGGGGGGGGCATTTCTCTGCGGACC